TTCGAGCTTTGATAAGAACATATTGGTGCATTTTTGCCCTTCCATCTTCTATATGTCTGTGATGGACTGGCATCCCACCCACTCTGTACCCCAGCCTTGTGCCTACGCTGCCTGTGATAGGCTCCAGGCCCCCGTGACCCTGATCAACACAAATGATATGAAGATGGATGGATGTTCTGTACATGTGCCATTAATGTATTTCTGTTTCTATAGCAAATTAGAATCTGTGATCTGCCTTCAGTGTCTTTGGTATCGTTTAGACTTAGAGTCTTTCTGCTAATGATTTTTTTAGGTAGAAGACCATATAAGAATGTTTGTTATTGGGTTGTTCTGAGCACAGCATCGCCATGACTACCATCGTACACCATCCCTGGTTGGCCGGCTTCCATGGTCTCTCTCATGGCTTTGTTATGGAAGGACTTTCTCTATAAAAGATGGATTGACTGTGACTGAAACCAGATATTTACCTGCCAGAGCCACTTGTTTTAAGATTAAATACTGGAAATATTTCTGTTCTGTTTAAATTACAGATTCATTCAGAAGAATATTTTTTCCTTAAGAAGATTTTTTCAGCTGTTAATTGCAGGACTTTCTGCTGGTAGAATCTTTGAGTTCCTCCAACAGGACACTGACATCAGTGAACATTCCTGTTTTCTCAGAGGTTGAGTACCGTAAAGGCTGTGTGGTTTGGGGAGGGGGGGGGGCGGGGGATACAGTGCCACTGCAATTATACATGAGGGCTTTTTCACAGCCTCTCAGTTGGGAGGGTTTTGGGTGGGGGCAGAAGGCCAGGCTTCAGAATAACAAGCCCCCAGTGGGAACAGGGAGGGAGCCATTCTTCTGGAAGAGAACAAGGAGCAGGTTTATCTCATTTGTAATGATACCCTGAGAAGCCAGGCTCTGCAGCATTTTGCGTTACACTGTGGGAGCAGAGGAAGGGGGTGCTGATCCAGAGGGAATCGGCTCTTAAAGGGGGTTTCCAGCTGAACTTTCATGTCCTAGCAACAGACGTGTGACAAGCTTACAAGCATCACCACAATCAAGGCCTGCTATGGCATTAATTAGGTCTCACTGTGCTTGTAGAACCAAGGTGACTCCTCTTTATGCCTTTACTTTATCTCTATCAGTCATTGCTTTTTACAGAGAAGATCAAGGTCAAATTGTGTAGTTTATTAAAAAAAGGTCCGTAAATGACTTTTAAATGTTATTATTGTGCTATTAAAGCCAAACAAAAATATAAAAAAGTTCAGCACACATTTATTATAGTGATGTTGTGCATGTTGTGCTTTTGACTGTTTTGAGCTGTACTGTAAACCCACATTCCTTTCAGTCCAGAAATCATTAAAAAATGTATAAATATTTAGATATTAAGAAATTTTTAAGTTGCGAGCAGCTCAGTGGCTCAGTGGGGGATGTTGTTGTCTCCCTGCCAGCACTGGGGGTTTTCTGTTCCTCTGGTACTCGTGTTTGTTGTGATAAGCGTCAGGTCCCCCCATGACTCCTGTACTGGGTAATCGGTTGTAAGACAGATGAATGGACTTGTTGGCCATCTTGATGGTGTGATGGGGAGCTTACTGTCCTCCCTGAGGAATTGATTGTAAAACTGCATGCCTAGGTGAGACATGGTAAGTGTATTTTGGCCTATATCGGGGTGCAATATCTGCATTGCACCCTTAAGGCGTGATCCCTGAACCTGAGCTCTGACCTGGAGCGTATTCCTCACTGGATATTTTTAATGCGGCAAACCTCTTTATAATCCCGAATCAAAGTCCTCCTATGGAACAGAGAAAGATGAATGGATGCAGGGCAGATCATTGTAGGGCAGTTGCTGACATAAAAGGGTAGACGATTAGTGCCCCACCCATCTTTCGAGGGTCTTTAGTGCAATTCAGGTGTTTCACACGTCCCTCAGTGATTTGTACAGCCCTTTAGCCCTGGGAAAGGTGCTTTGAGGGATAAGTATTACTTCCATCATTGTGCCAAGTAAGATTGTTGCCAACATTGGTCAGCAGGCTGAAGTGAGATTTTCAGTTCGAGACACGTCTGCACGCACATTTACATGTATGTAAGAGTTTTATTACATTAGAAATGGTCTGTAGGGTCTTCCTCAATATTTTTGATGTAGCTAATTTTAGGTTTATAATGTAATAATATAGTTTTGCCATAAGATTTCTTGCCTGAGTGTAAGGACCTGAACATGTGAGTGTCACACCAGATGCATGAGAGTTGGCCGCTCTGTTAATAAGGCTGTAACGGTGCGTGTACAGTTGCATGAAAAAGTATGTGAACCCTTTGGGATTATGTGGAGTTTTGCACATGAACACATGAGTTTTGACACATGAACATCAAGGCTTTTGGAGATACTTTTGTAACTACAGAAAGCAATTCTAGACCAACCCAGTTGAAAGTACTTTCTCCATGAGGGTTCTGTTTGTTGCCTGAAAACTCAACATTTTTCACTCTGAGGATGAGAATGGGAAGAGCAGACATTTTCAGCAACTTATACCAACCTGTATTATGTGCAGTGTCTATAACACATTATAGATGACACCTTCAAATAAAGTGTTAGCAAAGTTTCTCTGGTGGGAAAGCACCTAATGTAATATGAAAACTGCACTAAAAATAACATGTATGTCAAATGTAACTTAAACTAATTTTATCATTTGCCTGTACAGAGCTGTGTTCTGTTGCAAGCATGATGTTTTTATATGAAAATAACTGGATTTGGGTGCCAGTTCTCAGGCTTCCTAAATGCTCCCAGTCTAAAATTGCTCTTGTGTTTCAGTTCAGTGGCTCTTTGATGCTTTTAACTTCTCCTCAAGCAGAGGGCAAGAGGAGCCACAACATCTCTATGAGAAATGGGTTATTGTCGATGCTTTTTTGGAACATTAGAGGCTTTCAGCAGTTATTCTGCACCAATGTTTCCCAACCCAGTCCTCAGGGGCCCACAGACAGTCCAGGTTTTTGTTCCCTCCCAGATCTAGCAAAACGTGGACTGTTACTGGGGTCCTGAGGACTGGATTGGGAAGCACTGCTGTACACTGTAAAGATAAAACAGGGGCTGTTTTTCCTGAGACCCACAATTTTACACACTGATTAGGTTGCAGTTATTGTTCCACAGAAAAAAAGCATTGATAGTAAGATTAGATTTCACTGTTAATTGTATGGTGACCCGTGCCTTTGTGGGGGGGGGGTGCAATGTGTATATTTGCTGCCCCCTGTGACCCCCAAGCATATGATTACCTCTTGGCTCAGCTGATCCCTTCCACATCCCCTCCGGGGGTCTGAAAGGCAATCCTGTCCATGGTCTTGACTGACCCCCCCAGACTTGTATGGGCTGCAAGGTGACACCCCATAGAGCAGCAGCTCAGCACAAGCCCAGACTGGTGGTCCCCCCCCAGCACTCTAATCAGTCTACACCGACTGAATGTGTTTTCCAACAGAAGATGTTGGAATGACAATTTCTTTAAATTCCTAGGCAGCGTGCAAGGTCACAAACACTGATTTTATGATCCATGGAGTTTGGTAGCTGTCATGTATGACGGCGACTTTTGCCCTTGGCGTGGACCTCTGGCATTTAATACTGGTGTTATCTTTCACCAGTCTAGCAAAGGGTTATTATGGCTACCTCAGTGAGTAATAATGTTTGTAACAATTAATGTCAGAGGGACGATATCCAACACCCATAGCGGAAGAGAGACACTGTTGGAACCCCCATTGTGTGTATGTGGTCTACTGCCACATAGAGAATCTCTTCTATGGTTTGATTCCTGTAAATCAAGGTTACTTAAGCTATAATCCGCGGGTCACATTCAGCTCGCGCCATTGATTTGCAAGGCCCCATTACCAGCATCGGCAGTGTATACAGTCTGTCCCGCTGCCTTCGAAATAACATGCTTAGGTGCATAATGAAAAATGCAGCAAAGAAAATGCGGCTAATATCCATAGAAACATAAAAAAAACAACAAACTTCAGCCCCTACATAATCATGTAAATGCATATGTGTTACGCAGAGTCCTGCCTCTCCCCCCCCGTTCAGGGAATCCCCTGCAGATTGACAGCAGCTCCCTGACACCCACAAATGACATGTAATGTCCCAGAAATCTGTTGCTTTGCTGTTCAGATGCGATAAAATTACCTGGCAAGAAGTCTACGTTCACAACCCCTCCCCATCAGATTTTACTGCCAGCGCACCCCAGTTGACAGATTTTGCTTGCAAGCGGACTACTGGCACTCTAGTGACACTAGGATAGGACAGCGTATAATTTAAATAATGCTTTATTTAATCTCGTATTTGATTTAAAATATTAAATGTGTAAATTATTGACACTACATTACAGTTAACAATTAGTAACATCTTGAACTGGAATTTTTCTCTTTTTCATCATGCACAGTCTGGCACACTGAAAATTTGAATGGCAGTGAACTGCCCCTTTGGTTAAAAAGTTTGAAGACCCCTGCTGTAGATGTCCTTCAAAGACCTGAAAAATGTGTTGTGTTTCTAATCTTTTAACCCATAAATCTTGAGTGCTAGCAGCTTCCAGAAGGCTGAACCATGCACTACTCGGATGGATGGTTAATCCTTTGGGATTTGTATGACCACGTACATCTGCTTAAGTCCAGTGATTTTTGTGCCAAACAAGGGCATGATGGGACAGCTGCTACTATGGTAGGCAGTCCAGTCTTTATTGTGCCCATTCATTAGTACAGTATACCTCTATATCCTGGGCCAAGAGCAGGAGTTATCAGGATCTTGTGGAACTTAAGCAATCAACCACATAGCCAGAGTGAGGTTTGAGGACCAATCACTGGCAGGGACATCGTTGTGATCCGCTGGTGCATTGGAGGGCATATGGTGATTGCAATAGAGCAAATAGCCCTTTGATGACATGCTTGCTCTTCTGGTCCTTCTGTTTTGGTCAGATGGTGTCATATTGGGGCCAGGGTGCTTCCCTGAAAGAAGTCTTTGTCTGACCTCTCTCTCTTTCTCTCTTTTGTAGGGCTTGATGACAGCTTGCAGCAGTATGTCATAAACTTTGAACGTGAGAAGATAGATGGTGAGCAGCTGCTAAAGATCTCTCACCAGGACCTGGAGGAGCTAGGCGTGACCCGGATCGGCCACCAAGAACTGGTGCTAGAAGCGGTGGACCTCCTGTGTGCCCTGGTCAGTGCAGAGGCCGGCGTTCACCAGCACAGTTCTTGGTCAGATGTCCTAACTGTCATAACACAGCAAGTCATTTCACAGCACTGTGGGATAGCTAAACAATGGGTGGAGGACATTCCTTTCCTATGACAGTTGGTTGATCTGAATGAATGGTAAAATCAAAGAGGCTGTTGTTGTTGGATGCTGCTGTCAAAAAGGAAGCGGTTGTGCAGGGATGAGACGTTTTTCCCGGCAGGCAGAGGGTATCTATCATTTCACGAGCTTGGTGCATGTTAGGGGATGTTTCACATGGGACGACAGCAGAGTGGAATGTGCATAAGCCCCCCATGGCCTTTGCCAGGCAGTGCCATGAAGAAAAACTGGGATATTTCAACTTAGGGATTTTGGTCTGGCAGTCACACAAAGCACTGAATCAGGAATGCGATTGCTCACATCTGTCAGAATGTTTGTGAAGATTAACACCCATTAACACCCATTAACAGTTTTGTAATCACCAAAAGGTGAGGCCCAGGATCCTTTCCTTCTTATAACACCTTGGAGGTGCGGTGTTTCTGCTAGAGGAGTTGTTGGTTGGGCCTGTGGCACCAGTCTGACCAGTGCGTCAGTTACTGGAGCTAATCAATGGGGAAGCGAAGCCAGTACAGCAAGTCCCAAGAATGCATGGGAAGGCCAGAACAGGCCCAAACCAGTCAGTGAGACCTATCCATTAACGAGGCAGGGGCTAAGACACGTAGCGTTTCTTGGAGAAGGAACATGTCGGTTGAGGGGTGGGCTGGCTCACTTACAAACTCTGCCTTCATTTTGCCCAGTAAGGGACCATAGGGACAAGGGAAGGCCATTTCAGGGGGTGACAGCACAAGGAGGTACAACAGGCAACAGAGCAGTCCAGGTGTGGCCCACAACTGCAGAGGGAACAAAGCTCTGTCAGTTATACCAGCTACTAATTTAATTTTCCATGTAAAATACAAAAAACGTCACCATCACACACTACATATGGTATGTATAGTACAATGTGTGCTGAATATTTAGCATTAATAATCCCACCTACATGTTATGCTCTAAATTTATATTACTCCTCTAAATCATGCATCCATCTATGAAACTGACTGTCAGAGAACAAATGCTAATGAATTCCAGAATGCGCCGGAATTTTCTGCACATCACAGCACCTGCTGATAACAATCAGACCAGCCAAGGGAGACATGAGACGTTCTCAGTGCTTACAGAAAGTCATCATAACAGAGTCCATTGACAAGCAGTGTTTAACATATCTGCACATATCTTCCACACTGACATCTTCTTTTTATAATGTGTTATAAATTTTTGACTGACTAGGCAAAATTCAGTTCTATTATGGCCATTCATGCAGTTCTTCTAATTAAAAAGTTCCCAATGAGACTGCTTGTCAATGACCTATTACCTCAAAATAGCTCTTTTAGAACTATAATTTGGGTTTCAATTTATTACTACTTGAAATTTGTTTTTCATAAAACTACCAGTTGTTTCTAATATATATTTTTGTAAACAAATGAATAAAGTCAAGATTTTTGTTATAAAACCAACACTGAAGTAAGCAAGCATCCCAGGATTTTCTGTGAGCACTGAAAATATATTTAAGAAGTCTACTTTGTTTTCATTGGACTCTGAACTTTAAAGCAAAGTGTCCGACCCCTTCTATTTCCAGCCTGACGTTAGTATTAAATCTTGTGACCGCCGACTCTGTGCCAAGGTGGCTTGGCTTTCCACTGGTGAAATAAGTGGGGAGGCTTTTGGAACCCTGTCCACTGTCCCCACACCACAGGAGTAAGGAGAGGGGCCTTTATGTTTGTGCGTGGTGCCATGTGCACATGTGCAGCTGTACACACTGCCTGTGGTGCTCAGTAACAGGTTAGATGCTGAGCTGGTTCTGTGTGTGCTGGGGTATGCAGTGTGACTCTCAACAATTGAACAGGTGCAAATTCATACCAATAACCTGGTGAAAGCTTCATATGTGAGGATTATATCCAAGTAAATGGCTGGTTTGAAGAGCCAATTGTAAAGATGCTGCTTTGAGGAGATCTGTTGTGATACAAGTGCACTAATATAAATTAACTGAACTTTACAGTCGGTTAGAGATAACAAGTACAGACATTTTGCAGGGAGCAGTGCAATGTCTATTGATTGGGTTGTTCCCATAATTTACCACACTTCTGTCTTTTAACACGTATCTCCAATCAGAGCAATAAGTACCATATATGCATATTACATATAGGGCTGAGTGATATGACAATATATATTGGATGACGTAATAAAAACATGCATTGTTTCATATTATGCTCTATAGTTTATTTTGTGGTGTCATAAAATAGAGTGGTACCTCAATTCTTGAACTTAATCCGTTCAGAACTCCGGATCGAATCCTAAAAAGTTCGAATTCTGATCAAATTTTCCCCATAAGAAACAATGGAAAACCAATTAATTGGTTCCTGGCTCCAAAATATTACGCCCAAATATGTTTGTTTTTTTTTTTAGCATTTAAACACAAAATGAACTGGATAAAACAAGAAGAGCATAAACTGTACTAAACACATCTAAGCACATTTATCAAAACAGTAATTTGTAAAATAAGAAAATAAATGTATCCAAACAATGTGTAAAGTAAAAAAAAAAACAATGTTAACCTGCCCCAATAGTCTGCTCCTTCCGTGTGCCACGCCCCCTCGTTAACCCCGTGTGGAATCCCCGTGTGATCAGCTGTTTCTGGTTGTTGTCATTAGTCCTCTGTATTTCGTCCGCATTTCAGTTTTTCCCCAGTCCAGTCATTGTATTGTCCGTCTGCGTTTTGCCTGCCTTACCTGTAATTAAACCCCATATTCCCCGATACCCTAATGTCTGCGCCTATGTCTCAGTTCCGTCCCCACTGGGCATGACAATATTATTATAATTAAATGTATTAATAGTTTATTATTAATATTAAAATAATTAATAAGAAATCTTTATTTTGAAATGTATTTTCTGTTACTATCATTGTCTAAATGTATTTTTACTGTCTAAATATATGTATTCAGCTAGTGTAAACATGCACGATTCTATCACAGCGAATGCGAGGCTGAGACTGAAGCTTTACCCTTTGTTTCCTCTGAGAGATGTGCTGCGTGATTCATTTCCCCGTGCATACAAGTTATCTTAGGTCGCCGTTCACGGTTTGACTTCTCAGATTCAGATCGAGCTCTAGGTAATCTTTTTTTCGAACTGGTTGGTTTGACTTTTAAGAAATTCGAGTTCTAATGAGTTTGAGAACTGAGGTACTACTGTACATTGTTTACAGCAACGTTTTTTCATCATTTGGTTTGCAGTGTTACATGTCGCCACATGGGATTGGCACTTGTTTACAATGAAATTATTGGATTTCATTATTTATATTACACAGAAGAAAATCGACAAATATGTACCATGATCCACAAATGTTTTACTGTCTACAAATACGTATTTTTAAATTTTTGTTGTGTAACTTCAATTTGTACACCGGAAACGGGTTTTGCACATTTGTGGATCACTTGTCTATTTGTGGATCACACAACATTTGTGACTTCGCTTCTTTTTATTTGCAAATTTTTGTCCAATTTGCACAGTATCTGATCTGTAGAAAAAATCCACAAATATGATGTGTAGTCATGATATGTATGTCATATCGAGATAGGAGATGACATATCAAGGTGTGAGATTTTGGTCATATCGCACAGCCTTAATTATATATGTTATATACTCAGAAAATTGTTTTCTTAAGCATGCACAGAGACTGTGAAAAGAGCCCTATTATGCTTTTCCATTGTTTCCCTTTACTTTAGCATGTTATATAGGTTTATGTTCATGTAAACGGTCAGCGATGTCTTAAGGCCCAAAGTACAGAGTAACTCTCACCACAGAAACCACTCTTCTCTAATCTGCCTGAAATGCCTCATTGGAATTCCGGCCCTTCTATGACATGGTGAGGTCACCATGTAACACAATCCTTATTGGCTGCCTACTTGTGAACATCTGTCTGCAGGCTGCAAAACCAGGGAGGAACATGTATGGCAAGCTGACCAATCAGAGCACACTGGGCTCATCGGGGATGGGGCTTAAAGTTCTGACAGAGCGTTACAGACAGAGCGTGAAAACTGCAAGATGAACAAAAATCACGTAAAATTTTGAAACGTGGATAATTGTCCTAAATATGCTTGTAACTGGATCAGTAAGTGGAATCGATGATCAGCAAGGTGTCCCTCATCTGTCTGGAGTTCTCTGGGCAAAAAATGTAAAAATTCTGTCCCTCAATATAGGAAACCGCTGCGTCTCCTTCCTCTTATGTTTGTCATCATGAACTCATGGATGCTTTACTCTCTTGATAGTCACCTTCCGCCTGAGGCCTCTGCCTCTGTTTCTCATGTAACAGACGTGATGCAGAGCTGAGAAGCATTTGAACTTTGAACTTGATGCATATGTTACGGTTACGACTTACCCCCCTAAAACCGTTTTTAATTTAGCTGCAAGAATATGCTAACAGGCAATGTTAGTCAGTCAAAGCCTACACGCAGAGGTTTTTTTTTATTAAATTAACTGACTGTTTCACCACAGCTTTGGTAAATACTGTTTTCTTATTGGTCCAGAGATGTCACATGGGTGTTGATTATTTTCATGTAGCTGCACAGGTAGTTCCGGCGGCCTAATATTAGTTTTGTATTAATGCATTTTAATGTTCTATTAAATGTTAACATAAAAACCTTTGTGACATTAAACTCAAAAATAAGCAGTCATTTTTATCAGCATAATTTTCCTTGGATCCCAAAACTCAAGCACCTATCTGTTGAGGCTTTCTGTGGGAAATTGATGGACTTGCAGCTCCCAGTGAGCAGCCTGACCATCATTCTATCCTTATAGGGACTATATTTTTAAGGGCACATTGTAACATTATTAAATGCTAATCGAAATAATTTTCTTCTGAAAAATTAGCTGTGAGTAGTTTATTCTATTATTTTTTGTTAGTTTGCCATGGTATAACTGGGATAAACCACTTGGAGGTTTGCAGATATACGAAAATAATCAACTCCAACTTGGTTAGCAGCCCTCCGCTTCATTTTGGGCCGCATTACACAAAGTTTATATAATCAAGTACCTCGTCATGGTATATCCCTTATTTAATCGATAATTAAGTACTGATTACTGACTGGCTAATTGAAAGTACTCAAACTTGCCAGCTACAAAGGAAAACTGCCTGTCACTCGCCGGGTATCTTAGTGTTGCACCCTGTATAGTGACTGGAACCCGCAAATTCCAGGGAGGACATTTGCCAGAACCGGAGGCTTGACTGTCTGGTTCTGTGTGCCACAGTTGTAAATAAATCACATTCTTGTCATGCTTTAGGCAAACAGGGGATATTCTTTTAATTATTTATTTTTTATTATTATGCAACCAAACACAGAAACAGGGTAAGTCATAGCAGTGGGAGACAGTGAAGGGGGCGGCAAAAATAGGGAGAGAAAAACATTCACACAAGTAACCACAGTAAGAGGATTACTAAACATAAAATATAATAAAATCTAATGTATTTACTATATGCACAGCTATATGCAAAGGTAAGGGTCATGTCATAAAGCAAGTGATTGTGAGTAAAATCAAGGGGGATATTCTGAGGAACTCTTCTCCAGACTCGATACTGTTAGTGCAGCTTATAACCAGGCTCTGCTGCATTGTAGCTCAGTGACTTACAGTATATAGACACTCTGAAAGTCCTCAGCCAGCAACAGCTAGACACACAGTCAAATCACAGATTTTTGGCTCGGATTGTAGTTGTGTGGGTCACACCTTCTGCATGGACTGTGGTCATTCCTAGGGGGTCCTTCAGTTTTAGGTCCTCCTAGAACAGAACTGGGCTCCTCACTGTGTTAGGCTGGAGTCTGGCTGCAGCGCGTTATCGCCTCCTGCAGCTCAGCTAGTGGTCTGACCTAGTCACAGAGCAGGTGAGACACGCCAGCGGAGGAGCATTGAATGTCCGAGGCAAAAATGCACTCTTAGAGGACATGGGATTGGGTTCACGGGCAAACTGTGGAAAATGTTCCCTCGATGTTGTAGATGAGATGCATTTGTGCTGCATGCATCTACTCCTTATCTGAGATGGTCAGACACATACGTGTAGAAAGCCTCGTCTTCTGGGGCATGTTGGTATGAATGACAACTTCACATTGGTGTATTTCAGAACTATGGGGTAGAGACGGACACCCTGAAGAACCTGGTAGCCCAGATGAGGGCAGCTTCCAACAACCTGCAGAACCACGCATCAGAGCGCAGGAGAAGCCCGGTGTATGAGGCGGGTTCGGCCCGCAAGCCCCCCAACGAGTTCCTCACCTCCATGGTGGAACTCATTGGTGCAGCCAAGAGCCTGCTGGCCTGGCTGGACAGGTACGCAGAGTTCACCTGAAGGGGCAGGCGCCAACATGCAAAGCTCAGGGCCTCCAGAGCTTGCCTTCTCCCAGTTACCTTAGTTACACTTACTGTTCACTCACTGGAAGCTCAGCCTAGCAGCACTGGTACCTAAGCTGTGTGGCTGTGACATACCATCTGCCTCACTTGCATGAAAAGGGTCTGCCAGATACATGTCATTATAAATAGGCAAACCCTTGCATATTTACTTACACTGATAATTATATTAAATATATGTGCTTTGTAAAATGATCGTTTTATTGGTATTTTATTGGTTTTCTTTGTTGTTAAGTAATTTTCTCTTGTATTTTTAGGTCTTTGCCTAGGACCTCTGGGTTAGTCAAATACAAGTCTTGCAGTTTTGCAAGTTAGTTACCCAAATTGCTGGGAGCATGACTGTGTGCTCTGTTACTAAGCAGGACTCATGCTGGGTTTTCCTGTGGCATTTGCCAGTGGGGGTATAATTCTGTGATACAGCATTTAATTGTAGCTCAATAGGTTCTAGGTTCAAATCACAATGCACCCTAAATATCTATCTATTGTTTTTTTTTCCAAGAATTTCCACCTGGCATCAATTAGGTACATCTTATCTTACCATCTCTCACTGTCATTTCTCCACTGTACACTGTCAGCTTTCTTTCCGGAATTTCTGGTACTGTATGTCTCCGCATCTGCTCATCTCCACACTGAAGCGATACACTCATAACGTACGCGGAGGAACTGTCGCTTATCACTAGTAACCAGGAGAGACAATAACATGTCTTTGATGAGATGTCTGGCAGATAGTACTTCAGAAACCTGTGTGCAGATCTGCAGTCATGTTACACTTCAAGGAACAAACTATTTTAAACCAGGTTCCATTTTTTAAAGCAGGGGAAAGGAGATCAAAAGTAATGTACATTTCTTATATTTATTTATTTAGTGGATGCTTTTGCCCAAAGTGAACAAGGAGTCAACTTAGGTACCAGTGGTGCTAGACTGAGTTTCCAGTGAGTCACCAGCAACAAGTTACCACTGGAATAAGAGCTATACAGCATGTTACGCTAAATCCTAAATTGATTTGAGATTCTAACATTCAGTCGAGTTGTTTGTCCTCAAGTTCTTGCGATGGTACAGGACTGAACAGTGCCAGGGGTAATGGTCGTGACCCTTTCTGGATTTGGCTACGGACCCGTGGTCCGGTGGCACCTTTGTGCTGGTTTCAGCTGGGCTGTCCACCCCCCCGGCTCACGCCACAGCGCCTTCCTGCTGGCTCTCCCTGAACGCGGCCCCTTCTCAGACGGCCTGCGCCATCTTCCACCGAGCAGAGCTCAAAGGGCTCTTTTTCTGTCCTCTGTCCCGGTACAGGACGCCGCTGGCCGGGATCAGTGACTTCACTGCCACCAAGAACAAGATCATTCAGCTGTGCCTGGATCTCACCAGCGCTGTGCAGCAGGTCTGGGACCCCGCCAGCATGCTTATCTCATGCTAATGTAGCACCAGTTCACACTCAGCTGTTCCACCTAGTAGGATTATGTGCTGCAATCCCACCTGGCCCACTTCTGCTATACAGTCCCAAATCATGTTATGAATGGGCTTATGCATCTATATCTTCTTTTCAGTATTTTTACTCATGCTATCTGCATATTGTTAGTGTGACAGATTGAGTTGCTATTTCAACAAATACAGCTAACAAAGGATACAGAATCTCACACAGTCTCAACAGATAACAATCTGCAGTTTCAAAAGGGCACAATCTTATGTTATTCCTCCTCTCTGAGCTTAATTTCTGCCCAGAATTTGTGATGTTAACTTTAGTGTGGAGGGAAACCCTATGATATAAAACATTGCTGATGACACCATGAAATACCATGTCTATGTACACAGACCAGTGGCTTGTTGGGGTGTTTGCATTTAATCCATTGGGTCTTCATTCTCAGGTCAGGTCATTGTGACCCTAATGCTAACAGATGTCCGAACTTTGCTTATATCCCAGTCAGTGTCCAGTCAGCATCCTGAGCCCATCACATTTCTGAGATAGAAGTTCTTTTGAATGACAGATGGTAAATTCTGGAAAAGATCTATAAATGAGGGCAACAATGTATGGTTGTGAGAAGGTGTTACGCAACAGGTCTTTAGTGGCCATTTTTGATTTGAACATTAGTCTAATTACAGCTTTTAAGAAAAGTGTCCTAATTCTTTTCTGAACTTAGAATTACAGCAGCATCATTAAGAGAAACAAAGGACTTTTTGTAGAATCTTAGATTATCTAGGTTGGGTAACTACTGGATATCTGGTGAAAAGCATTCTTAGAACATTCAGGAAAGTTCAGCTGAAGAGAAATTGCGGTTCTTTGCAGTGCTCTGCATAAGTCTGGTGGGGAGAAATAAGCAGGTGTGTGTCCGTCATGCGTTGTAGCACCTGACCTGAAACGTGTGCTGAAATCCTAACCTGTGTGCACATCATCAGAAGCCTTCAGAGTCGTCTGTTCGAATGTCATGGTTGTGATTTGCTCTTTCTAGTTATGGTGATTACTAAAGTTCTTACTAAGGCAGTTAACATGTGGCTCCACAGGTTAGTTTTAGGAGGTTGTGTTTATGATCAGACGGTCATTAGTTCAAATCCCACCATCAGCTGAGTGTTTTACCATTGGGGACTTTCTCAATTTGCATGTAGCTTTGGATAAGAGCACCTCTAAATACAGTAAATAAAATGTTATAGACTGGCCATTAGCCTCTTATAAGCTTGTCAAAGTTATATAGGACATTTACGAAAGAGTATTAAGATTTAATTCACCACTGCTAAACTATGAGCCTGGTGCATTGTGCCACAATTATGAGATTAAATTGAATCTAACTCAATAACTTGATTGTCGTGAAGTAATTCTTATTATGAGGAAAAGGTGTTTGTGCATATGCCACACGGGGCACATGCGCTTTGCCAAAATGCCAGTTCAGCTTTTCTAATAGTCTGTGGTAATTGTGATTCCAACTTAGTGGTATGGTAGGCTGAGCTTGAATGCCCTTTTGTGAGAAGGGTGGGGCTGTGATTTGAGCTGGGATCCGGCTGTCACTAACTTAGGTACCTGTCAGCTGCCGGAAAGGTAACAAACACAAAAGTGATTGGCTTTGATCATCTGGACTGTCTGAAATCTGTCTCACGCATGACTCATTTCACACCTTTTTTCCCTCTGAATAGCGTCGTTACTGACTTCTCAGCTTCTCAGCTAATGTCCGGATAGCATTTTCCATTCTTCTCATCTGGTGGTTTAGTGTCCAGCTCTCTGGCCCGGCATGAACCTGAAGGATGATGGTTAAAGGGGCCATTATGCAGGCCCTGAATGGCTCCTTGTAATGGCTGCTGGATCTGTAGCTTGGGTATAGCAGGGAATGTTTCCTGCAGAAAGGCCGTGCCATAGAACAGCATAAGGCCACTTCTTCAGCAGGGGAAGTGTAGGTGGGGGGGTGTTGAACAAGGCGTCTATGCAGAGCGAGGGGGATCTCAGTTGCCAGGGCTGAGCCATGGCACAGCTGTGGGCACTGTTAAAGCTGGCAGCCCAGCGCATGCAAGGGATGCTGGGAATGCCTCACACCGCGAGGGAAAGAAGGAGGGGTGAGAGAGTAAAAAAGGACAGCAAGCTACATTTTGAGAGGGGAAGGTGAGAATGAGAGAATCAGGTAAATGGAGCGAATGGGAGGTAATCTCCCACTGACTCATAGTGGTGTAGTGAAACCTCATGTCTTCATGTTTACCTTCATAGGTTACCCAACTGTCCAGCCATAATGGGCTCAGTTCTATCTGATTTTTTTTATGTTTACTGGGATCTATGGATACTCAACTGAATTAATTATAAAAACTACCTAATGCAAAGCATTTGTTTTAACTGGACATGCCATGTTTAAAATTAAGTGAGGTAAAATCGATAAATATCATATTCTAAATATTTTGAATGTTTTTCATTTGGAATCCAAAAACTGGCATTTATAAAACAGCAGCACACAGAAGCGGAGTTTGATGTTTGTACTTGGACAGCAAAAATCTGCATCCTGCTTACCTTGTGTGCCAACGCACGTATCTGATGCATACATATCCTTTTGTCATTTTTTGTCTATCTATATGGTCCCTACACACACTTATGCAAAGGTTAAATGCAATTTCTGATTCGGGGGGGGGGGAGCATTAACCCACCCTCACCCCCCAGACTCCGCCCATGGTGACACAAATTAGGAATACACTAACTAAACTGTAACATTTCATTACATTTTTTATATTTAGCTTTTGATCAAATCAATGTACAAGCAAGGCAAGTAGGACATTGCACACAATCATTCTGTCGTGGAGTCGACTAGGCATAGGTGCAGCTAGGCTGAGCTTCCAATGATTGCCCACGTGTAAGCAGTACTGATCGAGCAGGAGCTACCCAACTGCTACAAAACTACACGTGTAACTATTAACAAAATTAAACTATCCAAGGGTTACTAAGTGCAATATATTTTGAGGGTGCTGAATTCAAATATCCCATTACTTTTGCTGAATTGGTTCTAGTTTTTGAGATAATGTACATCCATGAAAATAATGCATTCCCCCAATGCGACTTGTGTGTGATAACAAATGCAATAGCTTTTGGTCTGTCTTTTGACTCTTTAACAGTGTCTTAGGTAATGAAATATCCCATATAATTATTTTGTATTCCAATTAGTAGACATACAATGCTATAAAAGTGGCTTTTTGAAACCAGAATTCAACTGTGAATTTGCAGAAGAAAGAAGTCGGCGACAGTATAAGTTTGTCAACCCAGTATTGGTTTATACCCAAAAAGTTCTGTCTTAATAAGTATACAAATACATGTAAAAATTATGACTTCATCAAGAAGACCCTGCATTTACCAAATGCATGAATGACACTGAGGCTTCGGCCTGGAAGAGTTTTGTGTCTGTTGTGAAGAACTGCTTTGGTAATCACAGAGCAGACAATTATGAAGAACTGGTGCAAGATATGCTTGCTAACTTCAGAAATTTGGGAGCTATTATGAGCATGAAGATGCAGTATCTCCATAGCCATTTAAACAGATTTCCAGATAACCATGAAGACTTCAGCGAGAAACAAGGCGAGAGGTTCCACCAGGATATGAAGGTGATGGAGGAGAGATATCAAGGCAGATGGGACATACACATGATGGCAGACTACTGTTGGAGTCTCCAACGTGATTGTCCTGATGACACACACAAAAGGAAATCGCATAAACAGCGTTTTTTGAAACATTGACATTAATAACTAATATTGTATTAATCTAATCATACATGACTTTTTCCTGTCACTGTTAGATATTTTTTATTTCTTTTTTTGTATGAGTTAGACTGTTTACTTACTAGTTGTAACTAAAATAAAAATATTCTTGCAATTCTGAATGCTTTTGAAACGTGTTGCGTTAATTAATTAATTAACTATCTCAGAAACTAGAGCCAATCTGGCAAAACCGAAGTCATATTCTTAATCAGCACCATAAACTTAATATAAAGCCGTTCAGACATCGTTGGCACCAACATCACTGTATACCAGTGTAATCATGCATGGGTCACTAATGTTAATGTGAAACAGCTAGATGAGTCTTTCAATCAAGGAAACAAACCAGTCAGAGCACAAGAGGAACTAAACTATTTAGCCAAACACAGGAGCCTTTCAGTTTTAGAACAATTTGGAAAACCTGAAGTAGCTCATAGTTTCCCCCCGACATGGACTAGGTGGTCTACAGATAGAGCAGAGGCTACAGCACTTCCACCCAGGAAAGAACGTCCGGATAATGCAGCTCTTCTTTCCTGTCTGGTTAATCCCAGTTCTGGAACATGTCTGTCCCTTTGTTTTATAAGGAAGAATAATGGGCAATAATGGGAAATGCCTGCGTTGTCTGGCAGTCAGGTGTTTTACTCTTACCCAGTGTACTGACACTGGATTTTGCAGTACTTAAGGCTACTGGCTGTTGTATTTCTAAAAGGGAATTTGAGGTTATCTCTGTTTTGATAGTGTTTTGAAACATTCTCTTCTCATTTCCATGCTTTTTTTATTCTAGGATTGCACTGTCTTTGAAATGGAAGAAAACATTTTGGAAGTGGTAAGTATCAGTATCGAGTCTCCACCCTAGCTCTACAGTTCTTGAGAATGACACAAGTACTGTATTGGTTTTCACAAGGTTTGCTGCTTCAGTGTTTTTGTAAATCTTTTTGTCAGACATTTTTTATGGTATACTGAAGTATAATTATAAGCATTTCATAAATATCAAAGGCAATTACATTAATTTCATGCAAAGAGTCAGTATTTGCAGTGTTGACCCTTCTTTTTCAAGACCTCTGCAATTCGCCCTGGCATGCTGTCAATCAACTTCTGGGCTAAATCCTGACTGTTGGCAGCCCATTCTTGCATAATCAATGCTTGGAATTTGTCTATTTGTGAGTGTTTGTTTGTCCACCAACCTCTTGAGGATTAACCACAAGTTCTCAGTGGGATTAAGGTCTGTGGAGTTTCCTGGCCATGGACCCAAAATGTTGATGTTTTGTTCCCTGAGCCACATAGTTATCACTTTTGTCTTATGGCACGGAGTTCCATCATGCTGGAAAAGGCATTGGCCATCACCAAACTGTTCTTGGATGGTTGGGAGAAGTTGCTCTCGGAGGATGTTTTGGTACCATTCTTTATTCATGGCTGTGTTTTAGGCAACTGTGAGTGAGCCCACTCCCTTGGCTGAGAAGCAAGCCCACACATGAATGGTCTCAGGATGCTTTACTGTTGGCATGACACAGGACTGATGGTAGCGGGTTTTTTGGGATTAAGTTCATTTTCATGGCACAGAGGGACTGCACATAATTGAAATTCATCTGACCACACTTTATAACATTCTGGACTATATGCAAACTGCCATCATAAAAACTGGGGCGGCAAACCTAAAAATTTAATATTTGAAAATTAATATTTGTGTCATTCTCAAAACTTTTTTTGCATGCTCTCCCCGTCTTGTTATGGGGTTTCCTCTGGTTTTCCCCCACAGCCCTAAAAATGCTATGCTAAGGTGAATAGGAATTGCTAAATTGTCTGCCGGTGTGAATGTGCCCTGCGACGAGTTGGGGCACCGTTCTGGGTCATTCCCCGCCTTGCGTCCATAGCTACCAGGATGGGCCCCTGCAACCCTGCATAGTAGGGCTGTAATGGTGCACATGTTCAGTACATCATTTTCAGTTTGAAACACACAATAAAACAAATAAATAAAACAACAACACAGAACACTTTGCTGACCGTGGCTCTGAGTTGGTTACGGCTAATGCTTGTAACGGTCAGTCATAATAGGCAATTTGAGAACATTCTGATTTCCCAAAAAAAATACACCAACACCAGAGAGAGGGTAGCTGATAGGATGAGGCGTCTGTCAGCACATGTCCAATTAGCTAACTCGTTTGAGATGAACATCTGAGTGTATGTACCACTGGAGCAAGGCAGACGTTGCCTCTGCCAGTCTTTCTGTGGCATCTAAGGCGCGTTTGCCTGGAAATTGAGACCGGACTAAAATCAGAATCAGAATTCACGTTATTGGCCAGGTACAACTGCGTGTACTAGGAATTTGTTTTGGCATTATTGGTGCATATATTCACAAGTAACATAAAAGAACAAGAACATAAATTGAGAAAAGTATGATTTTGTTGATTATGATTGTTATATAATTTTGATTATTTCTTCCCATATTTATGTTTACAATATCCAAATAAGCAGATTTGTTATAGATACATCAATAGACACATGACTTTTGGTTTACAACTGTTCTTGTTTGTGTTTGTCGGCATATTTAATAATAAATTTCAGAACAAATTCTGTATCAAATGTACCGAAACTGTACTGAACCATGAACCCAAAAGCGTGGTTCATACTGAATTGTGAACTTTGTGTACCATTATACCCCTGCTGCATAGGACAAGCAGGAACGATGGATGGATGGATGGATGGATGGATGGATGGATGGATGGATGGATGGATGGATGGATGGATGGATGGATGGATGGATGGATGGATGGATGGAAGTGCACCAGCTTGTAGGTGTCTTGAAATGTGTTGCTAGGGCTGGATGCAGAAAATGCCACGTTGGTGTTTGTGTTGGTGCAGAATTTGTCCATAAATGTATAAATCTGCTGGAACATCTGATGTTTTATTTATTGGAATGTCAAACATACATATTCTGTTTGCTGCCAAGTTGTTCCAAATGAATACTTCATTGTGAAAAAGAAATTGGATAACATAAGCTGGAAATGTAAACAAATATGTGCAGTATATTAATCTGCATTGTCACTTTTTAAATGTGTATATATGTAGGTATTCTTAAGATACACTATTCAGAAAACTTTATTTTATTAGCATAAGCCTTATCTCTTAGAAATGAAATATTTCTATGCAGCAAATATGCCTGTATCTCGCACAGAAACCTGTTCTTTCGTGCCTTCTAACAGGCGAAGGTATTGAATGGCATCTGTGATCAGACGGTGAAGAACACCTCCGATCCTCTCGTAAGCCAGCCCTTGTGCCTGGAGGAGGTCCACCTGAGCCGCGTCACACCTGGGGAGGGACTGGTGAGACAGATGTTCACACTCTGCCCACTGGATGGATGGATGGATGGATGGATGGATCAATATGTGTTACAGATGTCTGAATTAGCATATATTAGTCTTTATGCTTTAATGCAAACTTCATCCAGATCAGTATCTCCTTATGTCCAGTGACACCTAGTTCCCCTCTTTTCCTCAGGGCATGTACATTAAGTCAACATATGATGGACTTCACATCATCACTGGGACTACAGAAAATGTAAGTCGCTGTCTGTGCGTGAGGCCCTGTGGAGGAGAACGGCTGTTTGCAGCACTTCTCCTTCTCAGCTGAGTTCCTTTCGGGCCCCTGACTACGGCTGACATTCATCTCTATGGCGATATGTGTTGATGCAGCAACACTGACTGGCTCCTTTTGCCTTTCATCTATTTTTACTTGCCAACCTTTGTTTCACCAGAGGTGTGACAAAAATGCTACATTTTAAATGTGGCTCTCCTGCAAAAATGCTAATTTTAACATCTGCCCCAGTTTATATTAGAATCTACTTTCCGAAATTCAGCAGCATGTTTCTGATCTCAGTGTGACACCCACTGTATGGATTGCATTTTTACTATTTATATACTTTTTATATATGAGGCATAATCCTCAGTTTGCTCTGAAGCGTCATCACAGCATAGATAAGTAGGCTAAATGCTTGCTCTCTGGGTTACCAAGTCATTCACAGGATCAGACACAAAACACAAAACTATTCATCACTAAGAAAAATAACGGCAAAACTTTACTTGAGGGGATACTGTATGAGTAACTTCAAATACAAATCAAGTACAAATCATCAACAAATATAGTAACTGCATGAAATACATGAACCATGATGATTGATTAATTATGATCGAACATGGGATCAGGACATAATTAACGGTTTCTGGTTAATTAATTTAAAAAGTAAGATGGTACTACATCATTGTTTGTGGCCCCTCAAGTAAAGTGTTAGTGAAAAAAACCCCAAAATAAATATTATGGCACATTTCCTCTTCACACAATGCACCGATACATCAACAGACTCACAGCCTGCTACCATTCCCCTTTATGGAGGAGAGGTTTGCAGTCGTCTTTCCCCTCTGCCCTCCATCTACACCTACTTCAGGCTGACTATGGCTGAAAAACGAGAGAAAATTTCAACCAAAACCACGTAATGACTCCTTTCCATATCTCCTACACACAGGGCCATTAATCAGGCCCCATTCTGCCACTCCGGTCCTCCTCAGCAAGCCTCGAATTAGAAAACAGTGGCGTTGTGTTTTACACACTATACTTAGAAGTTCTCAGTCATTGTTTTGCCACCTTTCTGTTTTTTTCATGGTGTTTGTGTATTCTTTTTTTTATATAATATACACAGTCAAGGGAATAATAACATTTGTTTTTACATATGACAGTGTCTTCTGTTAAACACATTGGTCAGTACTCACCTCTCACGTAAACAGTCTCTGCCTCTGTGATAAGAAAGTACTTTTTTAAGGTGAAATAACAAGATAGCTCCTCAAATAAAATATATAATATATAATTCAATATACTGTATATGGTACTGTGCAAAAGTCTTAGGCAGTCAAAGAAAATGTTTAAGGCTATATATCTGGGTAGCACGTATGCTTGCTCAGAAAAAAACATAATTTAACATTAGAACATATGCAAATTAAGAGTAAAAATTTCTTAACCAAGAAGAATGTCTTCCCTTCTCCAAAACATTACTGATATGTTGTTGCATGGCGAGATGAACACAGCTTTGGTTTGCAGTCAGCTCAGCCATTCCATGTACTCGCTAAATTTCAACACCAGCTCACGTAATTAATTTAATGTTTTAAAAAGTCAATGAGATATTGATTGGCCATACAAGGTAGGCTAATGGACAAGTCAAAAATACATGCGTGCATTGGATGGTTGCTGCAAATACTGGGGTGACTTAATATCATTGTGGCGTAATATTTAAACTTCATTGTCTTTGACTGTCTAATAATTTTTCATACTACTACACACTACACTACAAACACAGAAAGACAACTCAAGAAAGAGTAGGCAACAAAATACAAAAATACAGCTTCATTTGGTTTGTGGTCCACCACAACACCTCAAGAGCTTCAAAGAACCTTGGCATAGGATCTGGAAGTGTCAGGAAGTCCCCCTATGTTAACTGGAGGCAGCGTCATACTTCACAACAAATTGCACCGGTTGGTGTTTACTTGGTCTCAGGCAGCTGTCCATTGTTCTGCTGAATGGAGATGTGGTCACTGAGGCAGCCATGGCTCGTGGTTTCAATGCTTATCAAACCAGCCAGGGGCCGCTGTCACTTTGCGGATGCAGGCACTGTCATGCCGGAAGATTCCATCAGCAGAAAAGTGCTCTACCACAGAATGAATGTGATTATTAACATTTTTGGTTTTTCGTGCCATTTGCTTCACCCTTTCAGGCATTGAAGTGAAATTAAATCATGCCAAAAAACGAATGAATACCACACCAAAGGCACATCTGCAGGCATCTTTAGTCATACATTTAGCTTCATCTAACCTGATTATCACGCAAACCCTAGGTAGACATGTATAGCTTAACCATAGTAACCTTATGTGCTTCTAGTCTCCAGCAGAGAAGACCGGCAAGATCCATGCTGGCGATGAGGTCATCCAGGTCAACCGGCAGACAGTGGTCAGTACTGTGACCCCTCAGGCCATCACCTTCATCTCCCCTCCCTCTCACTCACACGCCTCCTTCTTCACTGCAGTTTTAAGAGTTGATTGGTTGGCTGTTACCTTTCAAACAAGAGTTTTAAGAACAGAAACACATTCTTGGGAACATTCAACAAGCTAACGTGATGTATGGTGACATATAGATCACTTTCGATGTATATTCACTCTCCTTCCTGCTGTTTGCATTCATTTTCATGGCTGTCTCATTAGCTAAACATACTCATTGTTAAATTAAGGCTGCTGCTCCAGCTCAGTGGGTGGCATTGTAACTATGTCTCCATGATTACAGGTTTGATTCCTTCCCCAGCTCAGCAGATTCAGAGTGTTGTATATTCCTCCTCTGACCAGTATTTCACATGTGTATTTGTGTATATAAATAGCTATTAGTGTGTGTCTGTATTTGTAGGTGGTCTGTAGTTGAGGGGAAGTGACAGATAGAGACTGGTGAAGATTAGCAGATGCATGTTGCTGTGGATCGCAGGTGGGCTGGCAGCTAAAGAACCTGGTGGCCAAGCTGAGGGAGAACCCTGCCAACACCTTCCTGACCGTGAAGAAGAGGCCCACGGGGTCGGCCTGCTTTGCCCCTGCTCCCCTGAAGAACATGCGCTGGAAGCCTCCCCTGGTGCAGGTGCACGGCTCCCTGACCCCTCCTGTCAGGCTAAGAGAAGTCCGACGAGCGCCGCTCGCGCCTTCCTGAAACGCAACACGTTGTGTGCTGGTGACCTGGCATGTTGGGACATGTGACCGAATCCCCCAGACAGCACCATGTGGGCAGGGTGCACCGAGTTGAGCAATCACAGCTTGTCCTGTCCTCCAAAATAATATCTGCTAAATAATTTGTAATCCTATGGGTTTTTTATATTCAACCACTTTTATCCAAAGTGACATGCAATTGAAAGTGGGGTCGGACAGTCCCTGGGGAAACAGGGGTTAAGGGCACTGTCCCAGGGCCTAACGGCGACATCACTCCCAACCTTGGGATTGGAACCAACGACCTTCTCATAACAGGCACAGTGTCCTAAACATGACCCCCAAACCAGCTGGACAGGTAGGGACCATTAAACACACTGAGACCTACTCTGACCATGAGACCTCTTTACCTTCTAATTCTTCCTGCTAAGGAAATTCACTCATGTCTCCAACTGGATTCATAATCATTGGAAAATGCTGTAACTATTAAAAGCCCCTCAGATTTTAAATTCTCAGATTTTAATTTTCTCAGGGAAAAACAGGCATTTGACAGGCCATCCTATAGCCAGACACGTTCAGTCAGGACCTTTTATTGTCATCTGGCAAAACTTAATTTGATTGGCCATCCTGTCTGTCTGACAGTTCCCCAGAGGCAGTGGCCCCTCCCCATCAGGAGCCCACCCTGCACACATTCACTGCCTGTTTCTGCTCTGGCCAGGAGCCTTGGTTTTATGTCACAAAAGCAGGATGTGAAAATATAGGAAATAAATATTTGTGGAATAAATAGAAAATATCCAAGTAAATCTAAATTAAAATAAAGAAATACTGTACAAACCCATTGCCTTTCCCTTTATAACTCTCAATTAACAAGAACCTGGAACAACACCAGGGGGCACTGATAGCGCTGTGATACCATGACTTGCTGGCCTGATGTGTCTCTCTCACTCTCTATAGTTAGCACTGGTGTTGTCAGGCTACAGATTTTCCATTTCTGTTTGAATGGCTAACGCCCTAGTGCTTAGAGTAATTACTACTCCCCATTTTCACTGACTGCACACCCGCACATGTTGCTGCCAGCTATGATTTGTGTTTAGAATCCCCAGTTCAATGACGTATTCCAGACTTGGACCCTGGTTTCACATGGAAAAAGCTCTCATTGGCTCACCTGGGAACTGCCTGCAGGTAGGGCCAGGTTTGCTTCTGAAGAACTCGCTAACCCGCATCTGTCGTGTTTGTCACAGAGCACTTCCTGCCCGCCTAAGGCAAAGTCTCCCAGCCTATCAGAGCGCTCCATCCGGAAGGAGAAACCTGCCATTTTGGACCTGTACATCCCCCCTCCTCCAGCTGTTCCCTACACACCCCGGTAGGCTCTTGTCTAATTGCCCTCTTACCCACAGCTATGACTGATGCAGTATTTATGACAGATGTCTGATCTGTTTGGTCTCCAGTTATCCTAATTAGGCACAGAATAGTACAGCCTCCTCTGTTCCATGTGTCTTGCAATTTGTACTTAGTCTTTGTACTTAATGTTAGAGAAGTTTCGCAAGAATATATGATGGAACCTCTTCACTCCTTTTGAGTGACTTTCTGAGATATTGGTGAACAATGCAGACATGGATGTTTTCATTTTTAAAATCTGTGCTTTGACCTCTCTGTCTCCCTGTGAAGAGACGGGAGGTCCGGTTTGTGCATTGGGGATGGCATCAGGCCCAGAGGCTCCGAGTCCCCCAACTCCTTCCTTGACTTGGAGGGAAGAAGGCGCACCATCGCTGAATGTGACGAGCAACGTATCACTCTCCCTGTGGAAGTGAACGTGCTGCAGGAGTGGAGAAGGGACCGGGCCCCCTCCCGAAGTGAGTGTCAGTGTCTGTGTGCCTATGTGTCTGTCTGTGTCTGTATGTCTGTGTGCCTATGTGTCTGTCTGTATGTCTGTGTCTGTATGAGTGTCAGTGTCTGTGTGCCTATGTGTCTGTCTGTATGTCTGTGTCTGTATGAGTGTCAGTGTCTATGTGTGTGTGTGTCTGTGTGGGACAGACAAGCAGAGAGACACACATAAAACAGATATTTAGGATAAAATACAGTACTGTGTATAAGGCAGTCAAAGAAAATGTTTGACTCTTTATCTGGGTAGTAAGTACAGCTGCAGAAAAAATTAAGAAACCACTCTATATTTTTAAACAAATCTGCATTTTTAAATCCTGGTTTAATCATGGTTCCGCTGGTAGACAGCTATGCTGAGCAGCAGGTTGCTTCCTGGTTCAAAATATCTAAGACAGCAGTACACAAGAATAAAGTGAAGCAGGAGACGCTGAGAACAACCAGAAACCAGCCAGGTAGAGGGTGGACGTGACTTTCTGATTGTGCAGGTGTCAAGTGCATTATTAGGACAGTTTGTATCAGGCTCCTAGAAGCAGGACTGAAGACCCATAAAACAAGGATGAAGCCCTTCGTTTTTGAGAAATAGGAAAACAACTAGGCTGCAGTTTGCAAAAAAAATAAACGAATATTATTAAATATTATTTAGGCTATAGACACAACTAGAAATTGAGAAATTAGTGAAACAAAAAATTGTCCTGTGGTCTCAATTTTTTTCCACGGCTGTATGTATTTGTTAATGAAAAAACTATTCAATATTATAATATATGCAGATTAACAGTAACACGATAAAAAATGAACAAATTTCTTCTGTTCTCCAAAGAAATACTGGTATCTTGTTGGATGGCTACCCCAGCCATTTAATTAATTTGCTTAATTATCGTTGAAGTATTGATTAGCTACATGTTCTGCTAGTGGTCAGGTCAATAGATACATAGGTATATTGGACGGTTACTACCAGTGATGGGCGGTAGCACCGCTACATGTAGCGAAGCTATTAGTTTAACTACATTTTCTAGTAGCTTGCCTGTAGCATCGCTGATTTCTGAATTAAATAACTTTCCAGTAGTTACGTTATTTTTTTGATCAAGTAGCGACGTAGCGTCCATAAAAGCTACAATTTCCAGAACATGTCTGAGAAAAGCAGAGGTTTCTTCTGCAGTATGATTTTGAAACACAACAATCAGAAATAAATTTAGCATGTTCATGCGCAACCTTGTACTCTGCTTCTACTGCCTGTCTATCGAAACACGCATGCGTATGGCAGCGTCATGAGATCGATACTTCAGTTTCAATTTCTGTCCTGAATGCCCTGTGGCTGTCTGTGTAAGCGATTCTGCTCTCGATTGCCGCTCCCAGCTGTCACGTGACTCAGCGGCGCCAGGCAAGCAAACAGGCTGACTTACGCGCGCGCACACACACACAGTATAATATTTACAATAAATTATTGAATTAGTGGGCCGCCGAACCGGTGGGCGCACGCACACATACACGCACACTACGTACAACAATAAACATTAACGATTATACATGACATAACACACAGCACATTTATAATGACACAAGCGATTACTGACAACTATTTACAAGCTGGCATCAGTCCAACTTGCCGCGCTGCCCGCCGGTACCTCCGCACAGTATGTATTTACTTATAGACTTTGCCCAAATTCCTGGGTTTTAACTAATTAATAAATAAAAAACACTTAAAGCTGGATTCATTTTCATGACTTTTATCAATTTGATGATGCATCCAGCTTAATTATTAAAAAGTATAGATACAACACAGGGGTCCCAGCAAATGCAGCCTGTGAAAGATAGTTCACCTTAGGAAAGGATATTTTCAGATTTGATTCTCATTTCAGTTTGGACCAGTTCATTTGCTATTGTCCCAGTGATCACTCTCTGAGCCATGCTTATTAATCATGGTGTTGCATGTCGTCCGTAAACACAGTTTAACACGGTTCTTAAACACAAAGTTCATTTGTAACTTCAAACGACTTGTTTAATTGGGGTCTGAAGAAGTTTTCTTGTTTAGGGAGGCCCTGAGGAAATAAGATGGCTGTTAATATGGTTTTTCTTTTCCCCAGAACTTTTAAATTGATTTAAACCTATAGCCATGTCTTGCCCATCGAACACTACACAGTAGCTTTCATTTGGTACTAAATAGTTCGTTTACTAGAGTACTGGTTTACCTAGTAGTAGGCCAATAACTTTTTATTTTTTGATTATTTGTTTATTTATGTCTCGATGCTTCACATAATGCAATGTCTACACTGTGTTAAATGGGTTGTTCTTTAATAAATGTCTTAACCAGTGTATCTGACTGTCATTTTGCACTGATCTGGCAATAGGTTAGTACAACGTGAAGTAGCTTCTGATGTAGTAAACTACTTTTGCCATATTTGTGTAACTTAGCTTGCTATATTTCTGTGGGTGGTAGCTTTTGTGTAGTGAAGCTTAATTTATTGTTGAGTAACTGATAGCTTAGCTCACTACACTTTACAAGTAGCTTGCCCAACACTGGTTATATAGGATGGATTTTGGAAAGGTTTTTAAATGGCACATTTTGACAGTTACAGTTTTATACTAACATGGAGATCATTAAAACATCATTTTCTTTGACGGCTTGTAACAGCATCTAGAAACCCAAGCGATATGTGTTGCAAACACTCTGACTATTATAAATTCATTAAAACATAGTTTTCATGTTTCAGGTAAGCCCCGACCTCTATCCATGCCAGTAGACACTTCTGTTGACCAAAATGACTCCTTCTCACGGCCTTGGACACCAGGAGGAAAAGGTAGGAAGTGCCTCCTGGCACCAAGAGCAGCCTAAAGAATGTGGCAGCCCAACCACGTAAATCTAATGAGGCCCCATCAGGTCACAGAAAATGAAGCGTGGGTATCAGAGGAAGAATAAAGCCTGGCTTTGACTTCCTGTACACACTATAGACTCGGACACATTTGTACATAGAACACATGATTTTACATAATGTATCTATTAAATAACTTAAGCAGAAACGTTCATTTTATGAGGTGTTGTTTGTCATAATATCACCATGTAGGTATTTGCCCAGTATGTTTGGCAGTGGAGATTCAAAATCAATTTGAATTTGACTTGGTTCAGAAACAATTACAGTGGTACCTTGGTTCTCAAACTTAATCCGTTCCGGACTCCGGATCGAATCCTAAAAAGTTCGAGTTCTGATCGAATTTTTCCCATAAGAAATAATGGAAAACCAATTAATTGGTTCCCGGCCACCCAAAATTACACCTAAATGTTTGTTTTTTTTTTTTTTTAGCATTTAAACACAAAATGAACAGGATAAAACAAGATTGTCCGCTCCTTCCGTGTGCCACACCCCCTCGTTAACCCCGTGTGGAATCCCCATGTGATCAGCTGTTTCTGGTTGTTGTCATTAGTCCTCTGTATTAAGGAGAAGGGTCCAGCTGCAGACGCCTGTAGAGTTGAGCTCCACAGGAAACACGTGGCCTCAACTCTGTGTCAGAGCGAATAAACCTTAACCTTAACCCTAACCGGAGCTCCACTTTACGTCCTTAAAGATCACGTGTTTCCTGTGGAGGTGACGTATTTCCGGTGGAGCTCCACTCTACAGGCGTCTGCAGCTAGACCCTCTTGGTATTAAGTCCGCGTTTCAGTTTGTTTCCCCAGTCCGGTCATTGGGTGCGTTGGACTTGTTTACAGCGCTGGCTTAAAGCAACGCATTCTGATCCTGACGCAATGCATTACGGTTAGATGCATTGCGACCTCTCACCCGGCTGCACAAACTGGAACCGCCTCCGTGACGACACACCTTTGCTCTTATTGGCTGAAGAGTTTAGTTACACGCATGACGTTTGTATCCCAGGCAGTTCCGATGCGTAATCTGGTATTTCTCCCGAATATCACGTAAAGCAGAGAACTGTTTTCAGTTAATTTACCTGGTAAAATAAAGTTTAAATAAATGACATAAATGCTCTTATAGTACACGTAAGTTAGTGGTTTTTTTTATTGTTAGTTACTGTAATGTTGCGCTGCTTTATTTGGTTAATCGTCCAGTCTGTGAAGAAGGCATTCAAGTAAGAATTGCATTGTATGACTCATTTCCTGGCACATACAATTTATATTAGGTCAGCGTTCACGGTTCTACTTCTGATATTCAGATCGAGTTCTAGGTCAAACTGGTTTGTTCGACTTTCAAGAAATTCCAGTTCTAGTGAGTTTGAGAACCGAAGTACCACTGTATGTTTATATATTAGACATTCATTGAGGTCTAAGCAATCTTCTGTCTGGGTATCTTTTCTTATTTTGGAATTAGAGCAACCTGTATGTCACATGCAACAGGATGAACATTTTCAAATATAGTAATTAATGAGTTGTGTTTTTTTAAGCAGTTTATAGATGACCAAGACTAACGAGTGTGACATTCAGCTTAGTACAGCTTACACCCTATGAGTAATTCCGTGTGTGTGTTCTGTGCCCCACCTGCAGGGGGCAGTATAATGCACAGGTATCTAAGCAATGAGCAGATCCCCGCCATTTCTGAGGAGAGCCCATCTTTCCAGCCACACAACAGGCCCACAGGCAGCAGGCATCTTTTCCGCGGCATGGACCGCGTCCGGGGAAGCCGCTGCGTCATAGAGAGCGGCTTGCACAATACCGCCACCATTCCCTATCAAGAGGAGCCCTCTAAAAAGACGCCCATCGCCTCAGCCCCAAAAGCGCCGGTAGTGGAAACTTCGCTTCTGGGTAGCTGGATCTCCCGGCTAAAGCTGCTGACTCGCTGACCCCCCCTGCCGCCGCCCCCCTGCCTCCGCCGCGTGCTCTCCGCAGCTCCCCGCTGTGCCTTTAATTCTGCTGTCACCCAAAAGCACAGACGTCCAGTAGACCACCTCACAGCACATGAGCATGGTTGATGCACACTTATGCTCTGGGACAGGAAGTGAGGTGGCTACGAGGAAACAGGAAGAGGAAAACAAGGTGGTCGTGTTCTAATTCCACTCTTCGCTTCTACCTGCCTGTCACACTGTTTTTATGAGAAGCATCTCAGAGTCATGGAGACTTTGGAGACTTTCATTTTCCAATAGATATAGCTCAGTTTAAGAAAATTTTTTTTGAGGAAGTCTCAGTCGGGAAATCTGGCGCACCCCTTCTGTTCAATAGGTACAGTTTTACTAGGCCTATAATAGATTTCAGTTTCCTTTTGGGGAAATTAGGAATAGATTTGGTAAGGAATATGGTAACACATTATTTGAGGGGACACAAGAAACTCAAGTACAAATCATGAACATTTAGCTGAAGTTATTCATTATAAATTTTTCCTTGTGGAATTCTATTTGGTCTAAATTTGCATACATTTCCTCTGTACCAACAGAGAAATTTTTTCTCCTCAATATATTTACATGTGAAGTATGTGTTTTTGCTGAAGCTATACGGAGCTGGTTTTATGCAAGAAAATTTTGTTAGAGAACTACTACTGATGTTATCTTAAAATCGTCCTCTAGCCAAACCTTACTGGGTGTAACTGACCCATTACTGCTGCTTCTTTCAGCCAGAGGAAGTGTGAATTTCCCCTTTTCAGTGGTCAACCAGTTTGTGAAAAAATTGTTCAGAATAATCTAGTCTTTGATAAGTGAACCATTGACCAATGATAGGCACTGTTACATGTTAGATTTCTTATGGTACACACAGCTATACCATGTAATATAAATATGCAGAAACGTGAGCGTGTTTTTAACTAGTGCTGGTTTATTGCTCGGTGGCCTTGCAAGCCGCGAAAGCAACTGGGTGCAGTAGGAATGAGTATGAATACAAAGTGCCTCCCATTCTCAATGCATAATGAAGCTGAAAGTTGTTTATCTGAATTATGACAGTGTTGAGTGCTTAAAGAATTCAAAATATTTTTTTTTCTTGCATTTCTGTCAAAATATGCTACATGAAAAAAGTTTAACTAATCATTAAACTTTATGTAATTCCATAATTGTAAAATGTCTAGAATAATTGAGATTGTTATCTAACTTAATAAACAAATAAATAGCTGTCCTCTGGAGTGCTTTTCTATTGCGAAACATGTTTTCCACTGAAATAAAATATTACACAATACATCTGAACTTCCATGTTGGCCAGTTGTATTGTGCAGTTAGCACACTAAAGGGAGTAATTACTTGAATATACTGTATTTTAATATGGATAGTCTAGTGGAGTTAGTTTTAACAATACTGTACCCTCTGCTGTCCTTTATTGGCAGTAATATTTCACCCTGCTGTTCCATCTTCAGGCCTTGAGTCTTTTCACTTGACACAAAGCAGCAACATACGTCAGGGCACAAACACCTCTGTTTCAAGGCCAAAATGTCATAGCAAGCTAACAAATCTCACAGAAATTCTATAAATACACTAGTAACTCATATTTAACCAGTTTGTCAACAGCCAAGGTGTTTGTACCATGTAAACACACTTTATGCTATGATGGGCTTGATTTTGAGTTCTCTGAGTGGCCCTTTTGCAAAAGCAACCTCCTGAATCTCATGCAGATTAGGAGAACAATCCTGCACATAATTTGGAGGGATCAGCTGGAAAATACCGTGGGTTCAGGCTCTGAGCACTATTAATTACGGTGGCACTGGTGATGAATTTCAGTTCATGTTACTGAGGGGTCAGGTAACCTTTCTGGACTCCGAGCAAATAAAAGGGTCACAAAGGAGGGGAGATGAGTACAGTGGTGAGTGGCTCAGCGAGCTAAGCTGCTGTCATTGCAAAATCATTGCTTTAAGCCTTGGCCGAATTGTCACATGTCCCTTAAGCAAGCCCCTTAACCCCAGCTCCGGGGTCGCTGTATGCTGCCTGACCCAGTGCTGTGACCCCCAACCTCTGTGTGTGTCCCATGGAGAGCAAGATGGGGCAGACAAAGAGAAGTGTTCTAATGTACCTGTGAAAATGCCAAGTAAAGGATTGATTCTACACTGGGGGGCAGATGTACCACCCATAGCCATGCCCCTGCATTATATATGACATTACAATATAAATACAAATAAAGAGTAATATGCTAAAAAGTAAGTAAGAATTTCTTCCGATCTCCAAAAAGTTACTCACACCTTGTTGGATGGATGGATGAACACTGCTTCAGGTCCCAAAGCCCTCCTCAGGGACACCACAGCCCATGTAGTTATTACATTTCACCACCAGTTCAGTTAATTAATTAACCTAATTAGTAAATAAAATTGATGAGGTATTGATTAGCCAAACATTGTATGCTAGTGGTACAATCGAAAAATGCATGGGTATATTGAATGGGTTCTGCAAATAGGGTGGCTGGGATGAATTCGATAAGCATAAAATCATCATTTTACACCAATATAAACATAATTTTAACATAATTTCTCTTGAGTGCCTAAGACCTTTGCACAGTATTGTATTCTGGCCACTAAAAGAAGATGCACCATAATAATATTTCTTGGTATAAATACAAAATCAGTTAATGTGCGTACAGTGGCTTCATGGGTAGCATCACTACCTAAAACCCATGAGGATGTGAGTTCCTCAGGTCCTCCCCTGAGACCCTGTACTGTTTAAGACGTATCAATATGGGCTAGGTTTCCCGATAATAGTCACCCCTAGCATCTTAGGAAGACTCTAAAGATATATCATAATGAAAGGTATTTTTTTTCCTACGTCTGTTTCCCGAACAATATCTTAAGGGAGAGCTTCTTAGGAGCGACCTTAATAGGCGCCAGAACACCTGATTGGTTGACATTGATGGCTGAAGAACTGATTATTCCCTCCATGCAGCACTGCTTGACTGCGGCATGAGAGAAAGTAGTGTTCTTTATAAATATAACACTGCAGGAATGCTTCAAAATGTTACATCAATCACAACTGGGGAGGAGCTAAAAATAAAATACAAAATAAATTGAATCATGTAATTGTAAATATGATTTTTGCTGATTCGGTGCACGGACCCGCCTCCCCAGATTGTAGTATCACCATTTTATTTTTATTTTTCTGTAAAACACCTGCACGTGCATGTCATTGATATTGGGACGAGCAATGGCATAATAGCCGAAAGAAAAGTTGTGTTCATGTTTTAACATAACAGAATGTCCAATGTACTCCTGTATTTACTACTAAGGACTATATCCAGGGTGTTTTTTGGGGGGAAATAAATGTAAATATGCGTACAACAGGAAGTTATGCACACTGGTTTACCATAAAATTTATTTTAGGGAAGCTGTGTATGCATTTCTCTTTCTAAATAAGTATACAGGGAAAAACAAGCACCACACCCTACCTACTCAGATGATAGATACCATTGGTTCATAGACACTGCAAAGTGATCAAAGTAACAGAGATCAGGTCTGAACTCTGATGGTTTGTGTCATTTGTGTGGGCCTATGAGCAAAGCCATGTTCCAGCTGCTTAGTCATTGCAGCCACATGCATCAGGGGCGTGCCATCCTACGCAGGCTCAGGGGCGTCGCCCTAGCACCAGGAGATGCGGTCACCAGTTATATTTTGGTCACTTGATGAGCTCAGTCCTTCTTTCAGAGTGGATAGTAAAAGCTGGTGCTTTCTTATCACATGATTATAGCTTTTATCAGTATTTTTCAACCCAATCCTTTGGGAGCCCCAGACAGTCCACATTTTTGCTCCCTCCCAGCTCCATCCAAGAAGAAGCAAAAATGCGGGCTATCTGGCAGGCAGCTAAAACGTGGAACATCTGGGGGTCCCCACCCACCCCCACTCCCCCATCCCCCAGCATATCACCCTGACTTTTATGTGAGTTACACATTTTCATCATCTCTGGTCTTCTGGTATTTCCAATGTGTGGGTGTCCAAACACAACCCCCAGTTTTTATAAATTTACCAGCTGAGACGTGGTTGAAAGTTGCTAAAATAACTGTTAGAATTATTATAGAGCTATTTCCATAATATATGTTATAATTTCATTGTTTTACAACTCGGACATGATTAGTGAATAGATTAATGGAAATCATATTTCAAAGTCAACACTGGATTTCTCTCCTTTTAAAGTATTCTTTAATCAAAATCACGTCGCTTTTTTTTTTTTTTTTTTGCTATAGACAGCCTCACTACATAGCAAAGGTACATTGACTGAATCTTATTTCAGTGCATATCACTGGCAGTATCACTAGTTCTGTCTGGCTATGACATCACTTCCTTCCACACTGCCGACCACAAGTTAAACGTTCAGCATCTGTCAAAACAGTTGGGGTTTCTCTGTAAAAAAGCAAAGGACAGCAGTTATAGCAACACATACCGCATGTTAAACTGGCTTGCAGCTGTGGAAAGATCAAAACATTTATTTTATTTTCATCCTAAAAAAACCTTAATGTGTAATATTGCTCCTTCAGCCGCCTTGTTTTGAGTTTGAGCTATGCATTATTCGCTGATTTAACCATAAACCTTTCGGTATTACAAACTAACTGGGAGATCTCCTCTGGTAGAAGCAGTGAATGTATCAGTCAAGGTCTGTAAGATGCCTCCTGCACAAACATAGGGTGACCTGATAATACATGTCAGGATGGACACAGTGAGCTACTTCGGGTTTTACAAGCTGGGCTGTTCCCTTTTTTCTGATAGTGTAATGCATAAAAGGTTATTCAAGTATCATTTCCTAGTGCTTCTTGTTCATTTGCAGTTGATCTGTCCACACAAATTCTCACTAAATTACATAAAAAATAAATAGCAGCATGGCACAGGTGTGAAAGATGTTAGCAAATATATATAGTGATGAAACAAAAAACCCAGGCTTGGCTTTTTCTTACTGTCACTGGCCTGAAGATCAGAATACAGAACCAGAGAGAGGTGGCGAAGAGGCTGAGCCAACTGCAATATCACGCAAAACAGAAAGTTCCTGTCAATCATTGAGGGGTGCTGCTGTTATGTGGTGGGAGGGAGCAACCAGACAAGCCGCGTCTCAGTCTAGAGCAGCCGATGGCCACACAGACTTCGCAATCCGAAGATCTCTCTCTCCAAAGGTTACCCTGCCAACGAGATCCTAGTAAGTCAGATACTCCTGTCTCAGGTCTTCATTCTCTCTGGGAAGGAGCTGTTTTTAGGTTTACACTGAACTGCTAGTGTATACATGTGGCTGTATTTTGAGGTCTGTAGGAAGCCTGAAAAGAGCACAAAGTCTATGAAAACAGAGCCTGTTGGGTTTCTAAAAGATGAGTGCTGGTGTTACTGCAAAGATCTTGTTCTTGTATGTATACATGAGTCACTGAGAAGTCAAACCTGTAGCTGATACTCCAAGTAAGTTTGAGTAATGCAAGCATGTATGATTATGAGGGGGTAATATTAATGGGCAGTACAGTGGCTGCATCCATCTCCTGCAGCTGCTCATTTGGGTTGCGGTAAGTATGGAAGCACAGGACACGAGGAACAGGGCACTCTCTAGATAAAGAGCCTGGCCAGCACAGGGCAGAGCCTCACTCACACATCAGGCACGACGGACCAGTCAGAGACACCGAATCACTCACACCACATATTTAGAAAGAGAAACCAACTTCAGAAGAACATAGAAGCTCCACAACAAAGAGCAGCAATGCTGGCAGTATGGAGCCTTAGGGCTATCTGCAGCCCCCCCCCCTCATGACCCAAATTGATTAATTTTACAAATCACCATGTGAGTGGCTAAAGGGCTCAAAGGGGGGGGGGGGTAAGCTGTTACTGCAATGTTTTGACGTGATTCTTGCATGATGCTGATGGTTCATATGATGTGAAATATGTTCTGTTTCTGTTTATTTTTGTGATGTATAAACATATGAAATGCATGCTGCCTGAGTCTCCATATCAGACCCCCAGAAGTACTGTTCTCATGGTCAGCTTAGAAAAAGTACATTTTCATTAGAAGCTCAGTGATTAACATGGAAACTCCATGAACTGAGTCGTTAAGCAAATAAGGACTTGCGTAACCAAGGTGTGGGCTAGAAAAACCTGAAGTCTCCCCTGGAGCGTGTGAGAAAGACAGTTCTACAGCCTTAGGTACAGCTTCCACAGCTTCAGCATGCCCTCTAAAAGCAGTACCTTGCTGTGTAGACAGAACTATGAGTCGAAGGAAGATCTCTGTTAAAGAGCTGGGTGTCACCGAGTGCCAGGGCTGGCTCCACAAGAAGAGGGAGGTGAAGGCCTTTCTGGGAATCAAGTGGAGGAAATACTGGTTTGTACTGAAGCAGACCTTGCTTTACTGGTACACAGAGCCAACGGTGAGTTAGACCGGTCTTGGGGAAAACTAAACAGAGGGTGTTTCTCAATACCATGAACGCAAAGACCGTACTTGTGGTCTAGGCAAGATCAGTCTTGCTAACTTGCCTCCCAAGAATGAACTTGGAGTGCAATGAATCATGGGATTGGTCTCGTTTAGTGAGGATGCAACTATCACCTTTGATATTTGGGACAGGGCAAGAACAACATCTGGGGATTTTGCCATCCTCTGTAATTCCGTTATTAGTATTGGAACTGGTCTTTGGCGATGGAAGATGATGTAAATTGGGTATACGAGAACACAAGTATGGTCAAGTACGCATATTGAGAAACACCCGGGGCTGCCATCATGGTCAGAATGGGCATTAGAAAGACGGATAAGTGATGATGCAGCTTTCGATGGCTTTGAGTCAGCCCCATTAATCGAACAGACTGCATAAATAAGGTAGGAAACAGAGATAACTAGGGGTGTAACAATTGATCAATTCTAATCAATGTATCGATTGTAAAGCCACAAAAACATTTAATAGTCTCAATTAATAAAAATTGATTCATATCATTAAGCTATGACGATAAGGCAAAACACTGCCAAAAAAACTGTGAAAAAATCTCTCACACAAAGCAATCAAGATGCCTTAGTAGAGAATAGAGACCAATATATTACAGTATATTTTGTGTAATTTTGGTACTCTTATGTTCCTACATTTTCAGAGAATAAGCTATACAAGTCAAAAAATTGTTTTTGTTGTTAAAGTATAATTACAGACAATGTTTTTGTGCAGACATGATGGTGTCTTTATTTTAAAGCACTTTGTGTGGTGCTTTTTCAAAATATTCAGTTGTTAAAAAGAACAATTGAACATGTATTGTTAAGTCTTTTTGAATTCCAATAAATTCCAGTAAAATCTCACTGTTGTAAAAATATTGATCATGTATTACTGAATTGAATCAACTCATATCATGAAAAGCTTCTGATTTACACCCCTAGTTATAACAGGGGTAGTAAAATGGTAAATGGTAAATGGACTGCATTTATATAGCGCTTTTTACTACTCTTACGAGTACCAAAGCGCTTTACAGTTATGCCCACATTCACCCATCCACACTCATATTCACACACCGGTGGCGGATATCTTAGTAGATAAGATAAAGATAAAAGATAAGGTAAAAAATATTAAGCTCATGGTATATTATATGAATGCATCTGTAAGAAAACATTAACTTCTATGTCCTCTATATGACTTTGTCCACTTTCTGTTGCCTAGGCTGAGAAAGCTATGGGATACATAAATGTAGCGGAATTCACGATTGAACAAGCCTCAGAGTGCAAGAGAAAGCAGTAAGTGTGTCAGTCATGTATGCTTTCATCTGAGGTGCTTTTAATAGCCTGTGGCCAAAAATGGGGACGTAGTGGGTGGCTGCACACTTCTGACGGCTTGGCGTATCCTCTGTCATCAGTGAGTCACATGCGCCTACAGAGAAACCAGCCCCACTGAACGGCAGTCAGAAGGGACAGCTGGTGAAGGGTTGATGGTTCAGTGGAAAAACTCTTTCCTGCTACAGTAAGGCCTGAGTCAGATTGTCAGTCCATGCTGTGTCGCGTTTTTGGCAGCATTTGGCCCACTGGGTTAGCATTCCATCACCGCTATCAGAAGGTTGCTGGTTCGGGTCCTGTGGTTGGCAAACTGATGCCACTGTTGGGCCCTCACATAAGGCCCTTACTGCCACTCCCCCTCAGCTCCAGATGGCCAGATAAATGGCTGAGCCTGCACTTGGACCCAAGTGCTGACCTGTAGACTATAAATGTGTATGTATTAGGATTGGGCTGATTTCTTAATTTGCTTTATCAATTATTGCGGCAAAAAATATCTAGATTATCGATAATATCTAAACACTTATCACTGAGAATATGTTCATATAGCCTATTTTGCATTTTGGTTTCACGCAATACATAGGTAATGTTGTTAGTGAGAAATGCCCTTAACACAGAGCTCTACAGCCTATAATTTACAATATTTGGTTCACATGTTTTTCTGTAAAATGTCAGTCACAGGGCACAAGGCATGCGAAAGCCCTTTTGTTTATACTCATAACACAAATGCAAAAACTACTTAAGATACAATTACAATACAATTCTTTTTTCACCTATTACTTCTTTCATTTGAAACAGAAGCAGGAAATATTGCCCAAATAAACAGCACACCAACAGTGGTCATTATTGTATAACCAAGTATGGAGTTTAATAATAAAAATATCTGCCACATCTAACAGTAAGCAGTTTACCCATTTTTAGTGCGAAATACAAACATGTATACTTTACCTGGGTTTAGCTGTGTGCGCCATCATTTTGGCGGGGTATGCTTATCACAGAACAGCCGAGGAAACAAGGATATTTTGTGTATTTGTTTTTAAATCTGATAATGCAGTTTGACCCAGTGTAAACAAAATCAGTTGTAACTAACAATGAAAATTCTTTACACACTTTTTTTTTTTTTAAATAAATAAGGAAAAAAACACTGTATTTATTGATAATATCAATTATCTGCCCAACCCCAGTGTGTGGAAAGAAGCATTCCAATGTAGCTGTACTTGTGCAAATGACAAATAAAGGACCATTTTCAAAGGTTTAGTGACTCAAATCGTGCCTATAGCTCTGCCATTTAGCACAAAGAAGGAGGAAGTGTCTTCAGATGTCTTTAAAAATCACAAGCACACTTTTCTTCTTTCACTTTTAAATGGCTCCAGTTAGTCCCATCCACCTTGGTCACACAGTCTGTGACTTATTTTTATTAACTGCTATTTCCATATTGATCGTAGACACTACATAATGGATGAATAGGTGGATATGTTCTGTTACCTTTAAGTGAAGTTATTTGCTACTTTCTGACTGTGTTTTAAAGGCATCATGGCACATTGGGCTAGGGGCAGGAATCTCACCCACAGTCTGTGTGTGTGTGCATGTGGGTGTGTGTGTGTGTGTGTGTATGTGTGTGTGTGTGTGCACCCTGCACTGATTAGGCATGCATATGCCCTGCGTTTTGACCCCAGGCTCACTGTGATCCTCAACAGGGTCAGATGAATGAATGAGTTGGTTTTATTGCCTCACACTAGGCCCCCCAACCTTTATATCGTTATAGATCCAATAGTGACCTGCCTGCCTCTGAGGTCTACAGTATATCAGCTGTGCCTCCCTGTCTCACTGTCGGCCTTTCATTACAGTGCAATGAAGGCCAGCAACCCACACCTCAAGACTCTGTACTTCGCCGCTGACAACGCTACAGGGATGAACAAGTGAGAAAAGCTGGGGCAGAGTGTTACATACAGGCATGCGATTGTACGATACAGACCCTCAAGTCATGTTCTGCCTATCTATGAGCGTAAGGACTGAAACCAAGAAAATTGTAGATCAAAAGCAAGTACTGTATCACTCTTTATAAGTTTACAGACGGAGGAAAAAACCTCTTAAAACACTGGTGCACAAATATGGGATGTTGGTTCTGAATGATGTCTCTGTCCTACAGATGGTTAAGAAAACTTGCGCAGGTGTCCCAGCAAAATGCCCCTTCAAATACAAACACAGAAGGTATCTATCTATCTATCTATCTATCTATCTATCTATCTAATCTATCTATCTATCTATCTAATCTATCTAATCTATCTATCGTTAAGTCTGCACAGTTCCACGTTAACTTGTGAGAAATAAACTTGATACGAAGCACGCCTCATGTTCCTCAGTTTCCAGGAGCTGGCAACTTACATTTCTATGAATATCCTGACACTGCGTGTGGTGTCCTGTCCCTGTAATTCTTTCTAGAATGTTACAGTGAAGAGAGTGACCATGAGGAAGGGACAGATGTGGAACAGGCAGGCTCTGTGAGTGCTGGTAACGTTAGTCCAGTCATTTTCACTCAGACTATCACACAAACATTTTCTGAAAGGCTTTGCAGCTTTAACCCATGAACACTGAATTGTGACAGTAACACTCCTATTATAATCTGTGTGTTTGAATGTCTGGCTTGTTAAAACAGCCGATTCACTGTACCATGAGATAAGGAGCATGCACTGAGTACAGCGCTGGACGTAGATTTTGTCATACCCAGGAGTCTAAAGTATTCAAAGAAACTGTACCATGATGGTCAAGAAATGCTGTACAAGCAGCACTGTGCAAAAGTCTTAGGCAGTGAAAGAAAATTATGTTAAAATGATTTTCATTTTGGTGTAAAACGGTCTGGGAACCGCAGTGATGTTCTTCTAGTCATCAAACAAGACATCAGAATTAAAGTTAATTTGCAGGGGCCCAAGCAGTAATAGTTGCTGGATCCCTGTTGTTTTATTGAATTTTGTTTTTTTTTCTGAGCAAATATACATTTAAGTAGTACCCAGACAAATAGTCAGTTCTTAAGACTTTTACATTACTGTATGTGTACTTCATGTGTATTCATCACCAGGAAGGGCCCGCTTCTCATGGCAAGGACACACCTAGTGAGGACACGGTTGTTGCCACGGCGATGCAGAACTCCACAGCATCCCCAATCAAACGGAATTCGTGGCTTAACAGCATGACGCAGGCCTACAGGAACTCAGACGACGCCATTGCTGTGCAGACAAGTGCCACGAGCTGCCCTCTTGTATGCGTGTCCTCGACAGCCGTGCAGGTCAGGGATCCGGCCCAGGGTGAGCATGTAACTCTGCATACTCTCCTAGCAAAAGTCACATGTCTTCCCCAGGGTTGGCGTCATGGGGGAGCATTTGTGGGCCCAAATGAGCCATTGTGCCCCAACAAATGCCACCTGTTCATCATAAAACTATGATGAAATAAGTCCGGTCTTTCCCAGGGCCGTGGCTACGGATTATTTACTTACCTGACACCCCCCCCAATCAACTTTTACTGTCACCACCACCCCCTCTGCCCGTGCCCCCTGTCAGATGTGTTCTGGCACTGACACTGGTCTTCCCTCTGGCAAATGGATACTGATTAAAATAAGATAATCAGAGGACAGCACTGAGCTCAGATTTCCGGGGGGGGGGACAGGGAGGTGTCAGCTGTTATGGCGGAGGCCAAGGATGGGCTGGGCCTCACACAAAGGCAAATGTGAGGAAGCCATTTTGGCAAACAAAAAGCTAAAAGCCAAATCACAGATTCTGGGTGCGATAATCTAAAATGTGATTGAGATCATTGTCTGAAACAAACCACAGCACAATAATGATCAAGTTCTAATGGGAGCTGGAGGAGAGCAAAAACACGGACTGTCTGGAGGGGTCCCTGAGTTATAATCATGCTGCCTGAGATAGGTGAGAGGCAGCAATGCTAACTGCACCACCGCGCAACCCCGAAAGGTTTCTAATTATTTCCAATTAATGGTTTCTATTGTATAAGCGCTATGGGGAGCACCTATTGTCGCATGTTGAGGACTGACACCATTTATGCATGCATCAGTAGAATTGAGAATGCAAGTTTATAAATCATAGTGCTTTGCTTCCATCAACTCTAGTTGTGTAGGATTAACATTGATAGTTTCTCTTGTAGTGTCTTTGTCTTTCTTGCACGCAATGTAAAGAAAATGAAAGCAAGGTGATTGCAACATATCACTTAATCTCCCCTGCAACCATATATGTCTTTTTCAGAGTTCAAAGAAGTCCCTGATGAAATGGAAAGACTGTACGTCCAGTTGAAGCAAGCTAGCCTGTACCCCACTGGCGAGCAGAAGCCCCTGACTGAAAGAGACTTCAGAAGTTCCTTCATCAGACGCTGCAAAAACAACACCCTCAATGAGAAGCTCCACCACTGTAGGGCGCTGAGAAGCACACTTAAGGTATCTTCACCAAAAACACAGTGGGATCTGAACTTAGACCAGCAGTTACATACTGTGCCAAACCAAAGAAGTGCACTTTCTGGCCAAAAGCATTTCCCCTGCTCCACGGTCCAATGATGACATGCTTGGCACTAATTAAGCTGATACTGGGCATCACATATAGCAACTCGGCCATGGATATTCAGTTCATACAGCTCCCAATAAACAGTTCTTGCGTTGACGGTACTTTCTGAGGCAATCTGAGACCCTGTAGCTAGTGTCTCAACCAAGGAAAGGTGATATTTATGTGCCATGAGCTACAGCACTCTGTGGTCCCACGCTTTCAGCTTGTGTGGCCTGTCTCTTCATGGCTGAGCTATGGTTGATCCTAGACACTTCCCCGTTACGTTAATAGAACCAACAGTTGAATGGGGCTGGTGTAATAGGGTAGAAACCAGATGAGCAGATTTGTTGCAACAGAATGGTGCTACGGTCAGAGCTCTTCAGTACGACCCATTCTACTACCACTGTTTGTCTATGGAGATAGCATGTCATTCTCTTCATGCACCTTTCAGCAATGGGTGTAGCTGAAACAGCAGAACTCAATAATTGGAAGGAATGTACACATACTTTTGGCCAGTTAGTGTATCTGCACTATGCAATGGCTCCCTCATAAATATATGTGTATTTTGGCATTAAGCTATTGTATAAATCACAACGCATGACAGTAAATAAATGTTTTATTGTGCAGTAATTTTTCTGTTTTTGCCTTGAGCGTTTTTCATGTAATATATTGTCTGACAAATATTTTGCCATGATTCTCTATTTAAAAAGTTTACATTAGAACTTTACTTAAGCCGTTCTTGCTTTGTTTGTGCTACAGGGGAAAGAGGCTGACCTTGTGATCATTGACCAGGTGCTGGCAGAGCCGTGTCTGACCACTACACAGTACAGGCAATGGAAGGACGCTAATTCAGTGCTTCTGCAGGAGATTTGCAGACCACTAACAGAAACTAGCAAACAGATAACAGCAGCTGATAAGTTAACCATACATCAGAATGAAGGTGTGAAATGAGCAGCGTGTCCGCGCATGTGTCAGCAAGCTTGTTGCCTGTTGTCAACTGCCATCTGTAGCGGATAATAAACACTTAAGAATACCGTACCTCTCGGTCCACTGCGCCTATCTTGTTTTTATAGAAACTGTTTAATAGAAATTCCATCTGAAATATGCAGACCTTGATGACTTGTTTCAAATTAGCATTTGGACCGCAGTATTACTCTCATTACTCAGCAGTAGTCATTTTCCAATGACCCTCGGGGGATTGGGACCCAAAACTCTTCAGAGTTCGTCATTTAGATGTTTGATGTCTAGATTTAATGCACAGAAGTTAACAAAGTAAATTGTATTATTGCTGCGACAGACTCACAGTAATTTAGCACAGACCATAGGGTGACCACTATGTGTTATTTTTACTGTCCTACGCCTTTTTCATGCTCATGTAATGTGACAGAATATGCATCTGTTATGGAAATTTATTTGTGCATAAATTGCATTAAACACATCCGTGTAAAAAATGTCAAGCCTGCAGACAAGGCACAAATATATACAACAAGCCTTGCACATTTTTGGGTTTCCCTTCATTTAACACCTGATTCAATTCCTTGCACCCCCCTGTCCTGATTACCACAGAGCTCTTGAGCTGAATCATTTGTGGTGGAACAGGGAAAGAACTAAGCTGCACAGGGCTCCGGCCCCCCAGGATTGCAGTCTGACATCCCTCATCTAAACATGGGATCTAATAATAAGCTCTGAAGCAATTAGCATCCTTGTGTTTATATGTTTGTTCTTTATAACTGAAGAACAAGATGCTAATCAACTATGTTTTGTATTTATAAACATATGTATAAATAGATCTATTGCCATTATATAGTTTAGTACATGTTGGACAATTGCGATCTTTTAATAAAACCCATATTTGATTAATCATCATTATCCTTATATTGGGGTGTGACTAACTACTATGACCACCTAAATCGCACAGATGATATTAAAAATACAAATTCATACTCTTAAAAGTTTACAGATTTACATTCAACGACTGATTGGATTATTCTCTTGAGTTCTACATACTGCACCAAGTCGGTACTACGGACGCATTAGATTGTAATATCTGCTTTAGCCACACGGGGGCATTGCCGCATTGGGTATTTCTTCTCTAATCTATTAGTCGCCATATTGGCCTGCTTGCAAGTCCGCCTCAGGCGGTGAGCAGCTCTGTAGGTTCCGAAGTAATTAATCTATTGGTAGCTGTTCCTCAGGTGAAATACACACCATGGAAACCGTCGAAGCATTTAAGTGCGAGGTTTGTATTTTCTATGTCGGTTTATACGAAAAAGTGTTTTGACCGTTTTAAGCACGTGGTATATTATGCACATTGCAGTGCTTAATTAGTTTGTGGTAAAGTTGTGATTTTTTTTTGTGGGAAAGGGTCGCACGTCGGTGAAAACCAGACACGAAAAGGCTGATGATTTAGTAAGATATCTTTTAAATAAGTTTACACCAAACAGCACATTATAACGAAGTATTTGCACATTTTCTTCCCATTTTTTTTAACTATATATTGAGCTAAATGTTAATGAACTATAGACTTCAAATTAACCAGAATGTAAAAACATAAATTAGGGCATACTTCCATTCAGATGTTACATGAAAAAACGGTATAGCCTGTGTAATTTCGCAGTTTATAGTCAATTAAGTAGATAAGAATCAGATATGTTAAGTAATAAATAAAATTACCTTTATTTTGAGGGATTTTATTTCCCAAAAGCGCTGCCGTTTTTCTTATAGCATTATTATGTGTAACTCACGTCGTCATTTTTCAGTCGATGCAAGGTTTACACTTTAAAATGTAATTGAAATATACGATTGGTACGCGTTTCCGTTTTCTGAAGTGGGAAAAATAGCGATGGAGAAACGCCTAACTAAGGCGGAAGGGATCTTCAGGGAGGCTTGTCCCCTAAATTACGGGCACTTAGTTATGAAGAAAGAAGAAACTTAACGTGAACATGCAGTGTTCTTTTAGTTAAAAAAAAAACAAAAAACACCGAGACCCCTATTTTCCACTTCAAGGCTATATGTTTGGCACCTGTTTGTGACTCACGTTTAAGTATCACTTTCAAACACTAACTGTAATTGAAAGTTTTACAGTAATATGAATGACTAGCAAATAAATTTTATTTGTTTTGAAATTTAAACCAAATGTCATAACTGAACTGATCATTTTGACTACTGCATGAAGTTTTTCTGATTTTTTGTGTTATTTATATAAATATTTCTTGTCTTTCAGCTATATTCGCTGAATGAGCATAGGCCTCCAATCTCCAAAACAAAGATGACCAAAATAACCAAGATGGCTTTAAAGGCCAAGAAGGTTTGTAGGCAGATTTGTGCCCGGACCTGAGGTAACAGGGAGGGGATAATGAAATACAAAATGTTTTAGAAAGTGAGACGCTGTCACACAGGCCTTGTTAGAATTACCATACATCCGGCTTTCCCCAGACACATTGTCTTTTTGGGCCCCCGTCCGGGCAGTTTTTCAGAAATCGATGGCTTTTCTGGGTTTAGCATTGCAACCCATATGACCCAGTGTTGCAAGTTACAGTGGGGGCACCAAGTGAAGGAAAAGGCACCAATTTTCGCTGTATTGCAGCTGCTCAGTATCATCACACTGGTCATGCAGACGTCTGCTTTAAAAATGAAACCGTATGCACACCCCTACGTGTCACGAGTGACATGAGCTTCCAGAAACTTTCCAGAAGTTGACCTCACTTAAACATTTTATATTTGTGGCATTTAGTGAGCAACGGAGCGTCCTCTTTTTCATCTCACTAAGCATGTTAACCCTAGGCCTTGTCAAACTACAGAGCTTGCTCAGCTAATACCCTTTAGGTTTACTCTTTTCAGCATGAATTTGAGTTTTCGTCCCATGAATCTCCAACTTAAGATTTCTGCAAACTTCAATCAGCTATACAGGAGTCCTGCATTCTTGGAATGAGAGAAACTGAGTTTGACTTAATGGCAGTGTCTTAATGCAGTAGGGAATGCATGTTTGCAGTTGTTTTATGCTTGTCATGGGAGTCTTAGTATTAGATTTTTAATGGGACAGTTGGATCTACATAAAAGATGTTAAGAATTTCTGCTCAGTGTGGTGCTGCTCCCAAGCTGTGACTGGACCTTAGCAAACAGTGCAGTATGTGGGCTGGGAACAGCTCAGTGTTCATCCATTACTCTCATTCAGGAAAGGCTATCTCAGTGTCCATGGAGGATCCAGATGCATTATCTATTCTCTGGTAATTCAGAAGTTTTTCCAGGATTATTTGCCAGAAAATCGTGTAGGAAGAGTGTATGGGAGTATCTCGCATACAGTCCTGGTGAAAAAGGCTGTGGGTTTTCACTTTTTTTATTCTGGCAACATGACTATGCTCATGAAGGATAATTAGTTTCTGGAGCTCCTCAAAGACCTTTCCTGGACTTTACTGAGCACAGAAATTTTATTTATCCTGTTTGGGAGATACCGGGGCATCACTAGATAGACCAGTGTTTCCCAACCCAGTCCGCAGGGAACCCCAGACAGTCCACATTTTTGCTCCCTCCCAGCCCTCAGCCAATCAAGAACACCAAGTACCTGGTACAGGTGTGCTGGGAGCTGAGAGGAAGCAAAAACGTCTTCGGGGTTCCCCGAAGACTGGGTTGGGAAACACTGAGATAGACCACTGCTTCTGTCAACATGCAGTCCTGAGTCGGTGTTTTTTACCTTCAGTACTACAGTAGGAAATGAGTCATAAAGTGTGTGTGTGTGTGTGTGTGTGTGTATTCTGCTGATCTGTCCTCATTGACAAGTTAAAACATGGGGAATTAAAATGCATAATTCTTATTGTTACAACTTAAATGTGTTGTTTTACTGGTGAATTTCATATTTTCTTTCTGCCATTCACTTGCCAGAATGCAAAATATATTTTTGTATTAAATGACCATTTACATGTTTGATTAAAATTTTTTAGTTTTGCTACAGTTTGCAAATTGTCAGACACATGTATACGAGCAGGTGCTAATTGTAGGGCTGTCTCATTTTCATCTGCATTGGATTACATGACAGTGTGCTTACAGCCTAATCGACAATTAAATGAACTAAATGTTGCTTATGTGCGAAACTTTTTCTTCCTCTAAACCACTTAAAGTACATTCATATACATAAATTCTTGCATACATACGTGGCACACCTGACCATTTCAGGTGGCACACCTGGCCATTTCAGGTGGCACCCTAGTGTGCCGCAACACAGCAGTTTAAAAACACTGGCCTGGATTACCTGCACGTAGTTGTGGAACAGCAGACGCAGGTGTCTGTGCTTCTCAGCAATTGGCAGTGCTGCTCCGTACAGGCCCAGTGGGCCCAGATCGCTCTCTCACTGGCTCCGGACCCCCCGTGACCCAGAAGGATAAGCTGTTGGAAAATGGATGGATGGGTGGATGGATAAAAAGCATCAGCTAAAAATTTCCTTCATTATTCTGCTATTTGGCCGAAGGAAGGATGTGCATAGTGGATGATGGTCCAGATAAAGAGCGAAAGTATCAATTCTGTGGATGCACTTTACATTAAGAGTGAATGAAATTGCAGTTGTCTGTCAGTTTTACAAAGCAGAACTTAAATATCACCACAGAATGACTGCAGTCCAAATGCGTTTTAAAAGATGATGTTCGGATTTGACGGACTTGCTTAATAATGCGACATTAGCCATAGATGTATGTCATTTAGCCTCTCGGAGTAGCCTAGCCTGTCTTTGTCACTACTTTAATCATTTTGCTTAATTTACTTTCTATGATTCCTCTGTCAAAATAATCTTTGCTAAAACAAAGGTTAGCTCTGTTGCTTAGCCTAATCGTCTTACATAATACAGTAAGTATTAACCATACAATTATTTTTTGTGAACGTATTGTGTTTTGAGTAGGGTTCAGCAATACTGAAAGTTTATATTGATATACTGTTGCTGCACACTCCCCTCTTTGTGTTTGGAGTCTGCATGTTCACCCTGTGTGTGCCTGGCTTTTCAGCAGATTCTTTGGTTTCCTTCCACAGTGCAGAAACAAGCAACATAAGTATGCTGGAATGCCTACAGTAAATACACTGCAACTCCACGTGCACCCTGCAGTGGTTGGTTTGTTCTTGCTTTGTGCCAGTTGCAGAATGTTATGTTTTATATATTATATACTCATGGTTGTCAATGGTGATTTTCTAAAGGAACTTCAGACGTACATTGTGTTCTATGGACTAAGGAAGTGTGCCGGGTATATGGTGCATGCCCCTCCAGCTTAGAAAGCCCCTTCTGAAATAAGTTAGTCAGCTTTCCTGGTTCTTCTGAGACTCCTCACCCGAAACACAAATATCTTCTCTGGGAGGGTTTGTAATGTATATGTTGAGTCTTGATTCTCCAACTCATGCCAGTAACGTATGACATTATTCCCACAGCTGGCTCTTTGCAGAGCCTATCCTATATATTCTGTCAGGGACCTTTGAGCTCTGTTTGTGTCTGCAGGGCAAGTGTGAGGAATTCCTGAAAATTCAACAAACATTCATAGTTTCTGGCCCCAAGAACAGCCAAGATATATGGTTCTTTTTTTTCTATCCCAACAATTCACTGATTTTTCTTTCAGTTCTACAAACACGTTGTCCAGAGTGTGGAGAGATTTATTCAAAAAGTGGGTATCTCGGTCCAAATTTTGCTAAAGTTTTCAGTGTGATTTCACCACCCGCAGCTTATTGTGATTTCCTTACTGCTGCTTAATTACAGATTATATCATTATTGTCATGATTTTCAGTGTAAGCCAGACCACAAGGTTCCAGGGCTCTATGTCATAGACTCAATCGTGCGTCAGTCCCGGCACCAGTTTGGTCAGGAGAAGGACATGTTTGGCCCACGATTCAGCAGGAACATCACAGCCACCTTTCAGGACCTACAGCGCTGTCCCTCCGCTGACAAGGTGCCGCTTCCTGTTTCCGTTCTTCAGTGCTTTATTTTTCCAGTAGAATGGGCATTGTGTTGGTTCTGAAAAGGCCAGCTTTGTGACTTCTTCCACTGGCAGTGTCTGTTCAGTGGGCATTAATAAAACAGGATTGGCCTGTAATTTACTTTTTGAATAAATTATGATGGCACCAATCTGTGAATGTGTATCTACTAATAATGCTGTCTGTATGTCTACTGTGTGTATCTCCATCTGCATGTGTTTGTCTTGGTGTTTGCATATCTATCTTTGCATATATATGCTTGCAGTTCTATATCTGCATGTGTGTCTCAGTGTGTGTCTGCCTACCTGCGTGTCTGCTTTGCAGAGTAAGATAGTGAAGGTCCTGACCCTGTGGCAGAAGAACGCCGTCTTCAGCAGTGACATCACGCAGCCCCTTTTGGACTCGGTGGTTGGTTGGAACTCGCCCCCGGTTTCTGATGCCTCAGCCGTCACATCCAGCAGCGTGGATCCCGCTGATGCCTCCAGCCCATGCCAGGTTGTGGGGGCCCCGCCGACAGGTGAATCACATCACGTTACAATGAGACCATTATGACCTTGATGGCCTTTACAGCATAAAAAAGGGTAAGGTACAATTGTTGACCTGTTATGTATGCGTTTCAATATCTTAGATATATTTATCTGGCAGACGCTTTTCATATAAGTGAGGCAGATGGTACATCATGGCTTCATAGTCAAGGAACCAACTTGGTACCGGTGCTGCTAGGTTGGGTACCAGTGCTGCTAGGCTGTTTGTGTGTGACCAGGAACAAGTGCAAGATCTGGGAAAGCGAGCTATACACCGGGATTAACATAACTGCATGCAAGTATGCATTCATGGTATAAAAGCTAAAATTAGTTCTGTAACAATCTCCAAATCCATGATTCAGTTCTGACCTCTGTTTTGGAGCCACGGTTCAGTTCTTACCCTGGGTTTCTTTTTGGTGGGTGGGGGTGACTAAGAAAAAAATTGGAGAACATTTCTGGCTTATTAACCATCTTGAGCTAATGAAACTAACCTGTGGTAAAAGCTAGGCTTGTTTGCTCATTGCTCATGTTTGGACCAAAATAATCATGTGACACACAGTTGGAAGACAATAAAATATCTGTAATGTCTAATTACGAAATATACAGCTTGCCCAAATTTCTACTTGAATAGTTTTGTGGTTTGTGTGTGTTGTGTTAATGTGAAATGAAAAATAAGTTTTGTAACATTAGCAGCATAATAAGCTCACCAGGCTGTGGGGGATAGATACTAGATTGAACATTTATATCACAGTTTTGGTCTCAGTTTCAGAACCGTTACACTATTAGTTAGAACGTGTGGTAACTTTTTGCCCTAACAGTGCAAATGTGCATGAAATAAATTTGTGAATGTTTGCATGTGTACCAGTTATGTCAGTCCCTACTTATACAAAATGCTGCCACATAGAAAGACCCCAAAAAGAGAGCTGTGCAGGTCGAACTGGACTTGGTTCTTACAGTTACACACTATGAGGCGCCATAACCCAGACACAGCAGGTGCAGACTGAACAGCTCAGTGGTAAAATGAGCCCCAGTGTTTTTTGTAGTAGCCGGTGCCGACCCAGCCGATGCAGAGCAGAGCTATCCGGGCCAGGCCTTGCTGATGAACAGCGCCGACACCATGACCTTCGTCAGGCACGTGCTGGGGAGTCCCGAGGGGCAGCAGGTGGGCGGGGCTCCCTGGGGCCGGAAATCAGGCCGTGGTTAATGGTGCCCCTTCTGCAGGAGTGTCTGGGCTGCTGTTTACGCTGTGTGTATGTGTGTGTGTGTGTGTCTGTGCTCCTGCCGTCTCCATCAGTTGGTCCGGAATCTGCAGCTCCAGCGGAAGCGGAATCCCCAGTGTTCTCTGCTCCAGGCCCTCGATGCTGGACTGGTGGTCCAGCTACAGGCCCTGAGCTCCAAGCTCATGGTGGACACAGACCCCAGTGTGCCCAGCATCCCCGACTGTGGGCTGTCCTCTGTCAGCAGGCTGGTGCTGGAGACGACAGAAGGATCTGGAAAGCAGGATGCCGGAAAGAGTTCCTCCCAGCCGTGAGTGCCTCTGCACATAATAATGGCTGGCCTGACTTTCTCGAAAGCAGGCTGGCTTATTTACATAGCTTGGCCTTAATGACCTAGTGCCCCTGAATTCCACGTTGTTGAATCGCTGCTGCTGTCTGCCGTGCAGGGTGATGATGTTTGGACTCTTCTTTTGTGCAGTCAAACCATTTTGGAGCCTGTAGCAGTCTATCAGTCCCCCTCTTCAGCTGAGAAGCGGGACCTGGATCGCAAACAGAATCACCAGCCTCCTGAGGTACCAACTGCTACTGTTTGACCTCAGAAATGGGGTCCTTTTTTCTTTTCAAAGATTTACACTAACAGTCAAGTTTTTGCACACCACAGGTTTGTACCACTTTTACATTTATTTCATAAACTTCTTGTTTATTCTTGTTAAGCATTGGAATGTTTAGTAAACAACTATAAATTAAAATGACAAGGAAACTTCTTTTATTTAAGAACATAAGAAATTTACAAACGAGAGGAGGCCATTCGGCCCATCAAGCTCGTTTGGGGAGAACTTAACTAATAGCTCAGAGTTGTTAAAATCTTATCTAGCTCTGATTTAAAGGAACCCATGGTTTTAGCTTCCACTACACTAGCAGGAAGACTATTCCATACTCTAACTACACGCTGTGTAAAGAAGTGCTTCCTCAAATTTGTTTTAAAATGTTCTCCCGCTAATTTCCACTTATGGCCACGAGTTCTAGTATTTAGACTAATATTGAAATAGTAATTTGCCTGAACAGCATCCAGACCCGTTAGAATCTTATAGACCTGAATCATATCCCCAAAAGAAGCAGTTACCTTTATAACAACAAGAGTATGTAACAGTGCATATCTGACTCCTATTAACTGGTTGTGTGTTGATAGCACAGTCAAATTCTGGGCGGTCCTTTAATTTTAAATGCACTAGCAAACTGTTTCATCCCATGAAACGGCAGTATTTTATGTCCCTTGTAGAAAGAATGCTCTGAATTTTCTGCTAGAGGAGGTTGGTTTGAATCAAAGATATAACGTGTTTTTGCTATTTAAGGTACTCAAATGGTGTACATACTGTAAATTTATCTGTTAGCAAAGAATATTAAATGTATTTTTAATAAATGTTAAGTGAGTAGAAAATCTCATTGTTTGCAAAAACTCTGCTGGTAGTGCAGTGCAGATGCCTTAGTATCAGCTTGCTTGTGGGCTGTGTGATAGTAGCCTTTAATTTGCTGGCAGTTACTCTATAAATTCCCCTTTGACACATGAATTCTCAGTGATTCTTGTGAATATTCCATAATACTGTTCTAGTCTGGAGTAATATTACAGGGGCCGTCCCTGCACTCACCCTTTGAAAATGCCTTCATGGTCACAATGCGTGGTACAGTTTGACAGGGCACTGGCCTTTTCCAGACATCATCTGGGGTGGCTGTGCCTTCTGAGATAACCATCCATCAGGAGCCAGTGGAGGCTGATGGTAGACTGTTCTGTAAGCAGCTGGTGAGCTTTCTGAGACACACCCCCCCCCCCCCCCCCCGTGAGCCTTGGCTTCACCCATCTTTGAAAACATCACCCATGTGCTCAGTCTGCTGGCCAGAGCATTAAGCTGTGTTTGCCTCCCTTCAAGGATCCAGATCCATGTGAGGACCACAGCACTGTGGAAGGGAAGACAATGGAGTCTGGGAATGAAGGCGTAGGAGACATGAGGCAGCCGTCTGGGTTGTGGAGCAGGTTGTGGTCTAGGTCATTGTCAGCTCCAGATGAGGGCATCATGGGCCCAAACCTTCATGTCTGATTGTTCTTCCTAGCTGGGGTGGCTATAAACCTCATTTGTAAAGTAATAAAAGTTCAGCTTTTTACTGCCACAGGTCTCCAAGGAAAAGGGGGTCAAGGTCTTTCTCGGGCTCCTGTAAATTTGAGCTCCGTGACTGGTCAGCCTCTTCTCCTGGGGAATGCAGTAGAACGTCTTCATGCTCCTGCTCAAGTGAGCAATGCACCCGTGGGCGAGAAAGAGGGCGGCGGCAAAAAGAGCTGCCCCCAGTTCGCCCAAGAACACTAAGTGGTAAGGGGCCCCGCAAGCGGCAGAATCTTTCTGGTCAAAGCCAAGGTACTGGTGTCCACTATACGAAAGTAGGGCGTTCCTGTGAGGCCTTTCGTAAGCCAAAATAGTGTAAGTGAAGAAGCAGTTACCGTTAACTTCTATGGGGGAAATTTTTGTGCATTCCCAGACTGAAAATATAACCTACCCAAATCATGCGAAACACACAAAGCCTAAAATGGCATAGTAAAAGCAGGAATGATACAATACAGTATATACACAGTCTATACTGTCTCACAGGCAGATCTAATGTATGTGCAGTGTAGTTTCACCTGAATCAATACACTCATCATTTAACGACTGATGCTTTCTGAGTAGTGCATCGTTAGGCGATTTTAATGTTATGAGAACATCCTAGAGTATACTTGCACAAACCTAGATGGTATACCCTACTACACACACAAGCTACAGTAAACTTTTTTTATAAGTAGAAAGAATGTACAATAAAATAACGATTAGTGCAGTATAGTAAATGCATGAATCAGTAACATAATTATCAAGTATTGTGCATGGTACATAATTGTGTGTGTTATACTTTTATATAACAGTAGGTTTGTCTATACCAGCATCACCACAAGCACGTAATGCGCTGCGCTGTGACATTACGTTGAGTGCAACATCGCTAAGTGATAGGGATTTTTCAGCTTCATTACAATCTTATGGTCTGCCGTCATATGAGGTCCGTCATTAATCAAAACACTATAATCTATAGTTGGCTTCTTAATAAACAAAAGTGAAATGCTATTTTCACTTTTCGTTGCTCTTCCAATTAGAGAAAAAGGTGCTAACGTAGGTCTTTTATAAAAGCGATGTAAAGTGAACATTCGAAAAGCGCGGGATACCTGTACTCAAGTGAGTGCAGTTCTCTTTTTCAGCGAATTTAGCATTAGTAATATTCACTTCTATAGTTGATTTTGACCATGTATTGTAAATGCCATTCCCTCATAATAAAGTTTGCACATCATTCATACATTGATTTTTACATTACTTTTTTGATACACTGATAACTTTATGACAGTGCAGGTTCCCCTGCTGATTAGTGGTCTGTTACGAGTGACCATGAGAGAGCGTTTTATTTCCCTCTTGCTTCAGTGTGCAGTTCAACACTGCGTGTGAGACGGCTTGGCAGCCTGCTCGCTGAGGAGGACGTCGCCAATCTCTGCGAGGAGTTCGGCCCCATCGAATCCATTCAGGTCAGTTTGCTCTGCTTTGCCATCACTGCAAATGGACGTTGTGAGGTTTCATTGTGACCCATTGATTCTGCTGTGGATAACATTCTGGTTTGGGAATTTTTGTAGATATTTTCCCCACAGTCGTAGGATTTATACAAGAAATAATCATAACATAGAGGTACACTTACATTAATTACCCAGAAGCCAAAAATATCAGTGAACTGGATCAAACTAAAACATTCAGAAAGTTGATTTCAGTTACAACATAACTCTACTAATAGTGCTTTTCTACTGGCATACAGGAACTGAGCTGTACCCAAGCCATACTGCGACGAGACACTAGTTACAGCGCGGTTCCAGCTCGATTTGGTATTCCACTGCAGAAGGGTCGGCTCGGTAAAGGTGTTGCTGAGTTTGGAAAGTGACAGTGATGCATAACTGAAGAGATGCTTATTTACTGTTCACACGGTGTACATCATGATTTACTCTATGCAATTTTTTTTCTCATTTTTTACTGTGTGCTAATTTCCACTAGCATGTCTTTGAGAATCGCCATTTTAAGTATCAAACGCTTGTGGAATTAACATTAGCTTGCGTAAATTTGCATTACGTATCCATTCCATTCAGCTGTTGTATAGTAGTGTTTCTCAAACCAGTCCTCAGGGACCCACAGAGATGGTCCACGTTTTTTGCTCTCTCCCAATTCCCTGGGAGTGGATGCTCTGGTTTGACAAACACTGTTGTTCAGTACTTTAAGTAGGAGGTTGGAAATTTTCCAGTTATGAGTTTTTGAGAATGCATCACTGTGCGATACTGCTAAAATTTAATAATATGTAGAATATATACTTTTTCCTTCTGATACTCCATGCCTAGAACGCTGGTATCTAGCAGTCAGGTGGGGATGCAGCCAGCTCAGTTTGGTCATGCTTTTGGCCCTGCTAGTAGGCATGTCAGTGTGGTTACGGCTCGGGCACGTCTTGCATACCTTTGCAATGGAAAATTACCACTTGGTTGTACACCTTGGTTCTTGGTGGCAGTGGAAAAGGGCCATAAATGTATGCAGACCGCAAGAGGGCCATCAGACCTGTGTGTTGTTTTCTTTCTAAAGGTGCCGACTGCAAGCCTATGTATTGTTTTTGTTTTTCTTTTTGCGGGTGCTCTTCTTAACTATGGGAATCCTTAGCCTTTCTTCATTTGAATTGCTTCCAAAGTTGAGGGTTTAAGGAGGTGGAAATAGCATGAGAGGAAGGTATTTGATTGCTTGCAGATTATTGCACCTGGGGACTGTGCCCACGTCTGCATGGTACACAGAGCGGATGCCCACCGCGCCCTGCAGGAGCTGCGTATGGGGTCCCGCGAGATCGGATCCCCTGCCACTGAGGTGTGTGAGTCCCGTTTGCTTCCATTTATTACTGCTAGGAGGCATTTGCAGTGTAGCCCCTATGTGGATCGTGTTGTGTGACTGATGTGCTGCTGCTCAGGTCTCCTGGGCTCTGAACAGGGGGGTGAAGCTGGAGTATCAGCATCTGTGGGATGAAGATCTGGGGGTGACCTACATCCCCTGGGGGAGGGTTACCTGGCACGACCTGGCCGGACTGGCGCAGGGAGGCGCCATCGACCGGGAGACTGTGGACAGCGGTGAGGCTGGCGGCTGCATGGCCCTGAACATGGTGGTTATGTGACTGCTGTGCTCAGTCTGGCGTTCGAGTCTGTATTTGGGGCTGGTGTTTTTCTGGCAGACTGCGAGACGGTCCTCCAGATGGCATCGTCCCGGGAGCCTGAGGGGCACGGCCCTATGAGCTTGGAGCCTGGAGCCCACCGCAGCGCTCAGGCCATGTGCCCTGGAGATCCTGGAGCCGAGTCTCCCATGCAGGTATCATCAGAGCTCTGACCGCAATTCCCCTCTGCAGTACTGCCGAAAGCACGCGGTCCTTGTTCTCATGCATGACGGCCTGTATATTGGAGGCCCCCCTGCCCATGCTGCCTCTGATTTCCATCATTGCAGGCTCCCCCATTGCCGTACTCTGGCCTTGCGGCTCGTCTTCCACGGCTGGGCTGTGCCACCCCCAAGGCCTGGCAAGGTGGGTCTGCAGCAGGCTTGCTTTGGTCTGCAGCTGTTCTGCATGGCCTGCTATGCCGCTGGATGTGTCATCATTAAAACATGTAAATCAGAACCTGCCATTGTCCTGTTCAAGAGCTCCATTCTGCCTCTGCGGTGCCTCCAGTGGCCTCTGGCCCCTTATCCAAGTCGCCCTGTAAGTGTGCCGTCTGCGTAGTCAGCCGATCTGCCTCTGATCAGCAGTGTTTCTTAGAGCTAAACCTTCACAGCAGCGGTACTTAGAAATACCTCTCCTCGCATTTGTCGAATTGGGATGTTTTTCAGCATAATCAGAGGGAATCATGTCATATATTCCAGATTCCAAATGAATGATTAACCCTCATTCTAAATGAGATATTACAGCTTTGAATTCTCTCTACAATTAAACCCCTGGTCTCCAGCAGCCCTGGAGATCTCCCAGGACAGTGTCGACATGGTCACCACAGACTCTGCAGTCTATGGAGCAGGAACCTCATACCCCTGTCCGGACTCAGGTCCCCAGGCTGTTGTCAAGCCCAATGGTGCCATGCAGGGGACGCCGCAAGGTACCAAAGCTGCCCTGTGGTTTATCGGCACCCAGCTGAAATCCTGCATGACGCAGCCAAGGGTTCAAAGGGGTTTGATGCGGGTACCCTGAGTAGAGAAGTAGGCTCCTTTCTCTTGGCTGGTCTTGCATACTTGGTGCTGAGGTAGAGATGGATGAATTATGATGGTGGGAGTTGATTTCGTCTATACTGTGAATAATAAGCTTGTGCTGTCCTGTCTGTCCCTGCTCAGGGGTGCCGGCCTCCGCACGGTACAGTGTGGGACTCCTAGGCTCTTGTCCGTCAGTGTTCCTGCAGCAGGCAAACATGGGCCTCTCGAAGGTGCCCAGGGCCCAGCGTACGGTGGGCCCACCAGGGGTGAGCCGATGGCCACTCCAACCCCCGCAGCTGCGCGTGCCCAGCCCTGCCCCCCTCAGTGTGCCAAGAGGGTCTAGGAGGCCCAGCTGTTGGCCAGGCATTCGGCCAGCCAGTCCTGACGTGGTGCCCATTGACAGCGCGATTTGGGGACACCGCCCGCCCCTTTTCAGGGCCCGCGTCATGCCGCCTGCAAACCTCCACAGTGGGAGCCCCTTCCTGGGAGACTGGAGGAAGCACTGGCCGGGACCCCCCAGGGAAAACTTAGAAATGCTGGAGATGGGACGATCTCCCTGGGTGGGGCCCAGAGGCTTTCAGAGCTGCCACCCACATCCTTACTGTTATGTCCCAAAATGGTCTGAAGATGGAACCAGGGGAGGAAGGCGAGGAGGAGGAAGATGGCCGGCCAGAGGTCTGGTGGCTCGACAGCTTGGGCCTGACAGCTGCCTGCCCAGAACAGGACCAGAGGGGGATGATAACTCAGAAAGCTTGTAGGACAGAGAATGGGAGCTGGATCAAGCAAGGATGATAGAGACCCCAGCATGTAGGGGGAGAACAGAACCTGACGAGTGGAGTAGTCAGAGGAGCGACTTTATCCCCCCGGGAAAACAGCCAGGAAGCGGAGGCCCGCAGTGACTGGAAGCAGGTGTAGCCACTAAGGAGGCGCAGCCATCATTCAGTAGGTAAACACCAATATTCTGATGCTTAAAATAGGTGAAAGAGTGACCTCTCCTCCTGAATGCTCATTTGTTTATGTTTTTGTTGATCCTCTGGATTAAATGGCACGTCACTGTCACTGAGGTTAATAGCAAAAAAAAATGTAATTCAAAAGTGAGCAATGACATACTTTGTCTGATATTTATGGAATAATGGGGCTGTTTAAAACGAGGTGTGATATCAAACACTGCCGCCTTGTGGCCATTTCTCCATTTTTTATATTTCCTGAAGTTCGCTGAGTTCCTGCTCTTTGTAGAGAAAATGCATTCCTCATTTATATTGTGATTTACGGTCAGAATGGTGCTGCATTTCAGTTTAAAGATTAAACTATGTCATCCCCATCAAGACTGTATTATTTTTACAAAAAGGTTAGTAAAATGATAAAAAAAAAAAGCAAAAAGGATTATTGAGAAGGGGCTGTGTTCTGATGTATATTGCTTATAAAATATTTTTTTTAAACTTGTCATCCAGTCAGGGTATAATTCAGAAAATATGTTTGAGCTCGGTACCTGGAGAGGTTAATTGTCAAAACGGCTGCTTCATAGTTTGGTCCATTAACATGGTTGTATGATTCTAATTAGCTAAAATAACTACAATGGAAACCACTTATAATGATCACATCTGGGTGAAATTGATCGCTATAAGCAGATGATAACCGATATTTTTCTTTCTCAGGCAGATTACCATCTAATTGACATTTGTACATTACATGAGTTTAAGGTAATAAAATGGACAGCGTCACTATTTACTTAATTTTATTGACGATTTCAAAATACAGTACAGCTGTTTGAAATGCCATTCAAATTGCAGTACTGTACAAATTAAATTACTGAACTGTGTATAATTCAAATATGCTTTAATACAGTACAGTATTATACATAATACTCATTTAAATTTTATTTAAACAGCGCATTTTCACAATGTGTTTCCTCCAGGTACTCCAGTTTCCCCCCACAGTCCAAAGACATGCTGAGACTAATTGCAGTTACTAAATTGCCCATAGGTGTGCGTGTGTGAGTGAATGGTGTGTGAGTGAATGGTGTGTGAGTGAATGGTGTGTGAGTGAATGGTGTGTGAGTGAATGGTGTGTGAGTGAATGGTGTGTGAGTGAATGGTGTGTGAGTGAATGGTGTGTGAGTGTGCCCTGTGATGGGCTGGCCCCCCATCCAGGGTTGTTCCCTGCCTCGTGCCTGTAGCTTCCGGGATAGGCTCCGGACCCCCTGCGACCCAAAAAGGATAAACAGTTTGGCAAATGGATGAATGGATTTTCACAATATTGTCTCAAAGCACTTATTGTAGTTTCACTGCTGCATCTCGGTGGCTTGTCTTTGCCGGTATATCATAAGCTTTGAGTGCGACTTTTTTTCCTGTCATGCTTTGCATGCACACGGCAGGTAGCCTCAGGTAGATAGCCAGAAGCAGGCAGGTTACCACAAGGCAAGGTAGGGCAATCAAAGTAAAGAAAAACGCAGTTTAAATTTTTTCCATGTTATGTTTAAAAACACCCAAAATGAACACTCTAAGCGGACTTTTTGATTACTATAAGTATATTTTTTAATTATTTGTATAGGAATAATTCTGTCCTAAGCTTTTTGAGCCATGTAAGCGGTTGATCACTATAACCGTGATCGATATAAGTGGTTTCCACTGTATTTGAAACGCAGCCTATTAAATGTCACTATAATCCTCTGGATTCTGGTAAAAGTCACTGTAACTGTTATTAGTTTAACAGTATGGAGGCCGAATGCTCAGGTGCCTATGAATGTTACTCAGTATAAAAAGGCTGGGGGTTTAGGCAGCGTGTGCATGTGGCCTGCCAAGGGATGCAGTTCTATGAGCATCACTGCTGTGCTATGGAAGACATTGTATTGCAGAAGGTCGCTAACCCTGTCCTAAGTTGGGTGATGTTTAACTATGAGAAGTTCCATGGAGGCCCACTAGATGGCAGTGTAGGGCTTTTTTGGGACATTGAATTTCACTAGACAGGTATTTTGTTCATATCTGCAGGTCTTACATCTGTTAAGAATCACAGCTGTAAGTGATTCAAAGCAAAAGAGAACACAAACAATGTTAGTGTACAGAGGAGTTGTCCCGCTTTCATTCTCAGGTTGAAGGAAGTTCTCTGCTTCTGATGTGTTGAAATTCGGAGGTCAGAGAATTTCAGGAAGGAAAATTTACAGGAAGATCATGTCAGTAAGGTACTGAGGCCTATGTGCAGCTGGCCAGGCAGCCTCTTGGAGCCAGTCATTGAAATGGTGTGAAGGATAATGACACTGACCTGAAATCAGGTGCAGGGTGTGGCATTTACGTCCATCACTGTGGGAAGTCAGTGTCAGTCCAACCCTGGCTGATAGCATTTGTTGAGCATACCTTTTGAAACCTTTTGATTTTGCTAGGTTTTGAGATTTGTGTTTGGGAGCCCTTCATTCATGTTTGGGCATGTCCATGACCACTTTATACAACATATCTTTTAAAACTGGAATATGCAGTTTTCAAAAAGAGAAATATACAGTATATATGAAGTTCACATTTATACAGTGTACTTGGATGTGTGCAAGCTATGAAATTGTTTGGATTCCTTAAGGGATTATAGTGACAGTGTTCACATTGTATTCATTGGCACAGGCACAATTAAATTCTGAGGTACATTTTTATTAGTGTATTTTTATGGGAAAGAAAACATATCATGTTAAACACATTTTAATGTGTTTATATCATTTCACTGTATGAATGAACCGCTTTCGAACACACCTCATTTTTAGGTCTTACCATGGAGAAATAAACAACCATTCTTTTCTTTGCAACCAGCCAAATCAGCACCTGCTTCAGAAATCAACAGCACCCTTCATCCACTGTCCCAGAGACCCAGTGAAGGTCAGGGGTGTGTGTGTGTGTGTGTGTGTGTGTGTGTGTGTGTGTGT